ATTCGTCTCTGGGAAGATTCGGTTTAGGCACTGAACATCGTCGTAACATAGACGAAATGTCTTGACGTATCGCCTCCAAATCTTCTTTCCGCATATTGTTTTTAAATAAACGGTCCTCGACACTACAGATAATTTCTTCGTACGGTAATCTGCTTGGAACTCCAAGCAGATAGCGTAATTTAGTCCTTTGGATAACACCTTTATTGTTGCATCATCCAGTGTTTGTTTTGACAGATTATAGAACGCGATTAATCTATGATCTGTGTTTGTCAATGGTTGCTTTTGGTTCTGGCATTGATTCGGATGTTTGACATTTGATTTGGCCGTTAATTTTTGATATTTTTCTATATGTTTGTTTGTTATGTGCGGCAGAAATTAACGGTGAACGGTTAATTTCTGCCGCACATATCCGACTTTTGCTCTTTATATCGATTTCCGGAGCTTCATATTTTTTTGTAGGATACTCTTTGTTCTCCCTTAGCCACGAGGGTCCATCCTACCATGGAGAATACGATAATAGTTGAGATAGTGAAAGTCCTCGCGTGGCACAGTCAGCTGCATTATGCTCTGATTTATGTATGCCTCCAGCATGATGACGGTATGACCTTAATTATTTCATTCACTCGGTTTGCCACGTATGTTTTCCATCTTGCAGTATTCCCATGAATCCAGCCTGAGACAACCGTTGAGTCCGTCCAGCCATAAATTTGTAATTGGTTTTGAGCTAATGACTTCGAAACAATAATCTTTTGTATTAATTTAGATAACAAAACAGCTGCACATAATTCCAGTCGGGCAATGTAATTCGTTTTTTTTTGTGGGGCTAGCTTAGTTTTTGCTGCTATGAGGTGTATCCTGGGTTCCTTATGCCCATTATAGGTTTAGATGTAAACTACGGCCGCATAAGCCTTTTCTGAGGCATCTGCGAAGCCGTGTAACTGTACGGATGATTGAGTATAGCCGACCCATCTCGGAATTTCAATTTTATTTATGTTCTTTAATTCTTCTTTTAGTTTGCTCCACTCATGTTGAATATCTGGTGACAATAATTGGTCCCATTCCGTATGCTCACTCCAAAGTCGTTGGAATAATAGTTTCGCCTTTATTGTACATGGGGCTAACCAACCAAGCGGTTCGAAAAGCTTCGATATGTTTGACAGCATGGAGCGCTTTGTGTCGGGCTTTTGCGTGTTCTCAATCTTATTGTCAAAAGTAAAAATATCAGAGAATGGATGCCAACGTAACCCCAATGCTTTTGTAGTTGATGATGATGAGCTGTTGTTGAAGTTAACAGTAGAGATATTAACTAGGTCCTCAGTTAAATTTTCCAGAAGTCTGGGTTCATTGCTCGACCATTTTCTCAAGTTGAATCCGCCTCCTCGTAATATATCAATTAATTGGCATCGTGCTTGCTATGCTTCTTCGATATTGTTGCTACCATATATCAAATCATCAACATAAAATCTCTTCTTCAAGATCTCAGCTGCCATAGGGTAAACGTTAGTGTCATCACTGGCTAACTGCTGCATCGTTCTGAGAGCCAAATATGGGGCTGCTTTCATGCCATATGTAACAGTGCATAATTGAAATTCTTGCATAGCACCATGTTCGTGTCGCCATATTATCTTCTGGAGTTGTTGGTCTTCCTCTTGTACTTTGATCATACGATACATCTTTTCGCAATCTGCTGTATATACATATTTGTAAGCACGCCAACTTAGTAATAATTCCAGTATATCACGTTGCAGTTTAGGGCCGCGCTCCATTAAGTCATTCAAGCTAAAGCCAGTCGATGTTTTTTCCGATGCATTAAAAACAACTCGTAACTTTGTAGTACTAGAGTCAAATTTTAGGACCCCATGATGTGGTAAATAACATTCTAGAGATTTACTCTCCACTGCTGGTTTCATATGGTTCATTTCCTTATACTCATTCATGAAATGATTGTATTTATCACATAGTTGCGGATCTTTTTCTATCTTTCGCTCTAATTGCTTGAACTGTGCAACGGCCTTTAGTTTCGAGTGACCTAATTGCTTTTCAAAGCCTTTCTTCATGGGTAAACGTACTTCATATACCCAATTTGATAATCTTTTAGTCGTTTTGACATAGTAATCTTCACAAAATTGCTCTTCTAAAGTTAATGAGCGTTCTTGCTCCGAAATGTCTTCCATTTCCCAATAATTGCGTATGACTTCGATATTATTCATAGTAAAATAGCAGTTGAATGTTTTCGTCGTAGAACCAGACAATATCCAACCCATCTGTGTTTGCTGTGCTATTGGTTGGCATGACGATCCTTTTAACAACCCATCCATGATGATTTCAGCATAAACCTTAGCGTCTAAAAGTATGTCAATAGGTTTCGATATGTTGTACTCAGGATCCGCTAATTTCAAGTGTTGTATGTGTGGCCAATTTTTATTCTCGAGTGACGTCACAGGCAGGCAGTTAATAACTTTAGACATTATTAAAGCTTCCGTAGAGAATGCATAATCGGTTGATAATGATTTGCAGTGCAATAGTACTTTTCCTCGGCTTTTGTTTAGCGATGTACCGATACCGGAGACAGATGCATGCAAGTTTTGGCGTTTTAGCCCTAACCTTTGCACTGCGTGTTCGGATATAAGAGAAGTTTGTGATCCTTGGTCCAAAAGTGCGCGCAGTGTGATGTAAGAACCATCTGCCGCCCGTACTTGCATCTTAATTGTGGCAAGTAATATTTCATCATCATTTCCAGCCACGTGGTGTGATTGTACATGTGGTTTCGAGCCCTGTGACTTCGAAGCCGTTGTCGACATGTTCCCCGAACTTGCATTACTCGCCGCCTTTGTAATATAAGCGTTGTGCAATAATGTGTTATGTTTCTTGTGACATTCCTTGCACAGTTTTTCGGAATTACATTCGTATTTATGCACGTATAAACTATTTTCGCGTATATAATGTAGTTTCGAAATGGTATGTAATTTCGTTTCAGGTGTCATGACTTCGAATCGTTTGCATTGAAACAATGCGTGATTTTGTTTGCATAAAGGACAAGTAGGTATAAACTTGGAGTTAATATAAAATGATTTCTTGAATGATGTATCTCTGTTCTCATAAATTGCAGGTTTTTAGTAATAATGTTGTTTAAATTTTGATACATGGTTATTTCTATTAAAATTCGATGTTTAGACTGTCTGTTCTTTCCTATTCATTGGCTCTAGGGCTGTAAATTTGGCTTCCAAAAACGCCATAAGCTCTTCCAAATCAGGTAGTTCCCGTGGGGCTTTTCTTGACTCCATATAATCGCTATAAGTTGTTGTATCTAATTTCTTTGCTATAAGGTGTACCAGAATCGGATCCCATGAGGTAGTGTCAATCCCCATATTGAAAACACCATGAATGCATTCCATTGATACGTCGTGAAGTCGTTTAAGTTCTGTTGATGATTGTTTTTGGATGTTAGGTTGATTTATTAGAGTTTCAATGTGCTTTGTAAAGAGAACTTGCTGATTGTCATAGCGATGAATTAATATTTTCCACGCGGAGTCATAGTTTTCCGAAGAAATATGCAAATGTTGTATTAGGCGCTCGGCTTCACCTCTGACCTTCCCCTTTATGTGCTGCATCTTTAGTGCCTTAGTCATCGAAGGATTGTTGTGAATGGCTTCTTTAAAGAGGTCAGAAAATGTACGCCATTGGATATAATTTCCCGAAAACGTAGGTATTTCTATTTTTGGTGTTGTTAAGTGCACATAGTGTTGAGATGTTAATTTCTTGTTTAACAACCTATTTACGTTCTTAAACTTGACCTCCATTTCATCATATTCCTCGTCGTATTTTAAATCGGAACCTTCGAGAATATTGTCAATTTGCAAGTGTATTTCCTCGATGTTGCTCCAACGATTTTGAAGGTTTCTCAACTCATACTCTAACTCACATTTTTCATCCATGTTTTCAATGTCTATGTTCTCAGTTATTCTCGAAAATGCTCGAAAATTAGTTCGCTGTAAGCTTAATAACTCTTTACATTTCTCAAGGTCAACCTGGGTGGTATTATCCTTAGTCGATTCATCCTTTGATTCACATTCATACACATTCATCATTTTCCGCGTTTTGCTATACAAATGTTCATACACAAGAAAAATGTCGTTTGTAAAATATTCGTGAGTCTTGTCTTCTAATGTCAATAATTGTTCGTTGTTGCTTTTGAATTCGACCCAAAGTTCATCCAAATCTTTGATTTTCTTCTGTATATATTCCTTGGTTTTTCTTACCTTCGGATCCTTTTTGAAATTGATGTTAAGCCTTCTGATCTCGTTTACGATTTCAAACTGTCTCTGCAATAAGGCTTGCATGGTGATAAGTTATTGTTTAAATATTAAACTGCAAGTAACACTGATGGAACTGTAACTTCCAATCGTTGGGTCTACTTAGTGCGTTCGTGTCCTCAGCACAGTATATTATGCGCCTTCTCAATTCGACTGGTGAGACCCGCTTGTGGGAGGCCAGAAGAACCGATTCGCCACTGTGCCAAAACACTAAGCACTATAGTAGTAGTCGAAGGACCAAAAAATATGTATGTGTAACTATGCAAGTATGTAATGCAATGCAATGCAAGATTAAATGCTGCTGAGGAGTACCACTCAAATACTGATATTGTATGATGCAAAATAAAGCACTGTTTATCGTAACGCCATGCTAATGGTACTGAATTTATTATAAGAACAATAAGTGTGTACAATGCATTGAAATGATGTCAAACACGAGCACGCGCTCCAATTTCGCTAACATATAAAGATGTACGGGTTTACTCGTACAGTTTTTTTTGAAAAAAAAAATATATTTCTATATGCTTGGATACTGATTCCGGTAACGCATTTAACGTGAAACACAGGGTTTTTGTTACATGTTGTATATTATAAGGAAGAATTGTTTTTTCTGTTATAAGCTTGAGACTGACTGTAGCAAAATTTGTGATAATGAATTAAGTGTTTGGTGAACTGGTACTTTTACAGACGACGACAAGCAGCAACAGCGGTGGCGAGCAGTCGCAGACGGACGAGAGCAAGGCGCTGGGCGCGGCCGACGACGGCACCAACACCAACACCAACCTGGAGGACGAGCGCAAGCACGCGCCGCGCGCACCCTGCCTCGCCGACACAGGTACATCCGCCACACGCAGCGCAGAGCATATCTAATTGATGTAACTTGATATTACCTGTCTCTTTGAAGTGAAAACTTTATAATCGTTGGGATTTGAAACTCGATGAAAAGAAAAGGCGACACTAAAAAATAATAAATATATACATCTATAGCTTTAAGCCTGCGAGAGAATGAGATAGAATATTTACAGTATTTCCTATCTTAAAATAAACAGTTAAAGCTATTAACAAATTTATTAAATAAATAAAATTAACCATATTCAATAAAATTGTCACTAAATGTATTAAATATATAAAATTATCAGGGGGAAACAAAAACAGGTGATGGGCTGCAGCGTCTTCCTGATAACAACTCAAAATCGCTATGCGTGTCAACTATGGCGAAATCCCCCTGTTGGGGGGAATGGAATAAATTTATTATATCCTATCCATTCATAACAATCCACCATTTCATAATTTATCTGTCTAGTCTTGCGCATAAAGAATGGGATTGAAAATGGCGTCGCCTCTATTCACCTCTCACTCCAACACTATCGCTATCTATACTCAAACCCGCCGGTAGACTGCAAAAAGATACATTACGATATGCGCTCTTCGGTCACTGGTTATAAATGTTATTTCAAAAATTAATATGCCTACTTCTATATACAATTCCTTTCAAATATTTTCCCATTAATAAAAAAAAATCCATTTAACCGAATAATTTTACGTTATAACGACATGCCGTTATTACCGAGGTTTCCCTATTGATGCTGTGCATGTCGACGGTACGGGCTCAATGACCCGCCATTTCTAATTCCATTTTTTATCCGTACGGACTATATTTGTATTAAATTAGTCGTATTTAGGCCTCTATTTTACGTACCACCTTTTCGAAAAAGTCAGTCTATATTTGTTCGATAAAATAACTTTGCCTATAGAATGGAGTAGAAAGCGCATTACAAAGCATTTTTACTACCAATTTTCTATGATTTCACTTCTACCGCGTGTGAACTGCACACTTTTTTCTAAACATGGGAAAATGTCTACGCACACCCGCTTTACAGGAAGTTTGGTTATATTGAATTCGCAACTACTAAAATCCTATAGTATTCTACATTCGTTGCATACATCAGCCTCCCCACCCGCGCTCCTCGCATCCAATGTACAGAGATATTTGATGTTCGAGAGGAGGCATGTGCCTTGCAGTGGTACATAATATTATATTGGCTGTAACTACAACTTTAACTTCGCTGTTGTCGGCAACATAGTTGCGAAATTGGTGATTTCGACAGTTCTTTCCCATTAAAATGAATCAATATCCATCAATGAACTAATTGCAGTTTGGTTCTGCTTACGATAAAGATGATGTATAAGACAAATTACTAAAATTGAAAAAAAAAACGCACATATATTATGGTATACATAACATTGTAAATTATAATGAAATATTTCTTTACAGTATTACAAGATTCAGACATCATGCAAAACTTCTACACAGCCTTGTCCATGTGCGATGGATTGAATACTATGGTACTGAATTCAGGTAAGTGCACAAGATAGAACAACAAACAATTCAATGTGTTACAAAAAATATTGGAAATAAATTATATTTCATGGCTATAATTAGAAGTTTTCTGTATCAAACACCAATGACAACAAAACATTAAATTTAATAATTCACCATAAAATGATGATTTGACATAAAATTTCATGTTTGACCCATGTGATGACTTATAAAATTTAATCTTCAATAAAATCTATTGAAATTCTAGGTTGTCTTGCAGTAGGTAGTTAAAATAGAGTTGACTGATAGTTCATTTATTACTATATTTTTAGAGAGAAAAAAGAGTGGAACTACACTATATCTTTTTATTACAGGCATGAACTCTGAATCATCCACAGAATATTCCTCTTTGAAAGAAGAGGTATTTTGGCTGGTGGCACATTTGCCGGCTGTTGCCTCCAATCCAGCACTCATGGTGCCCAGCCTCATGGAATTCCTCAGTAAGTATATAAAATTTAAAGAAACATAACCTTTATTTGAAATAAATATATCTACTGAATAATCAATAAAAAATGATATTATTGGTAGTAGTTTTTAGCACTAAAAATATATTATATTGAACAGGAAAAAAGGAGATGATACATCTTTCTCAAGCAATGCAGCAGCTAATTGTAAGGCTGCTGGAAAAGTCGGAGGCACTCTCTGCGTTCATTGAAGCTGGTGGTCTCGAGCTGGCTGTCGAAAAACTTACTGCTTGCCACGAAGTGAGTTTGTTTAAAAATTATGATCTAATGATTTAAAAAAATGTTAACAAAATAATGATATCCTAGGTTTACCAACCCGCCTTTTATGAGGGTATGTTCAGTAGTAGAGTTTTGATAGGCTGTAATGATGTTGATGATGAAGATGATGATGAATAAGTTTTAGTAAATTCCCTACGAGGTAGCTAGTATGATGTGTTTAACAATGGACTTTGATCATCATCATCATCATCATTCACAAGTCCACTGCTGAACATAGGCCTCCCCCAAGAAATACCGCAAAGCACGGTCCTGAGTCACCTGCATTCATAGACTCCCTGCATTTCTTACTAGGTCGTCATTCTATCTAGTTGGGGTCGCCCTACACTTCGCTTACTAGTACGAGGCTGTCACTCGAGAACCTTTTTTCCCCATCGGTTATCGGTTCTTCAAGCTATATGGCCGGCCCATTGCCACTTTAGCTTATTGGTCCGTTGGGCTATGTCGTTCACTCAGGTTCTACTGTGGAAATACACATTTCTAAACATATCACGCAGAGAAACCCCGAGCATAGTCCTCTCCATAGCTCACCTAGCGACCTTAGTGTCCTTATACGGCCAGCAATGAAGGACCACATCTCAGATCCATAAGTCATCACCGGGGACACGCACTGGTTATACAATCTCATTTTCAAGTTTTGAGGCATACCTGACGAGAAGATGTCGAGATCCATCTCCGTCCGTCTACGGGTTACTATGGCTTTCCGAGTACTGAACCAGTGTAGGAAACCTATCCAATACAGGTGTAAGACGGTAACGTTATATTCCCCAAACTCTTCATCGCTGCATTGAAAGACGTTTTCAAGCCACTGAACTGGAAAGGTACAAGGAAGGTTAACATCAATGGCGAGTACATCATTCACCTTCGATTTTTCGACGATATAGTAGTCCTTATGGCAGAATCGCTGGAGGACCTAAGCACTATGCTCAATGACCTCAATAGTGCCTCCCAACGGATAGGTCTTAAGATGAACATGGACAAAACAAAACAAACCGGTACCATTCATTGCTATGCGGATGACTGCACTGATGATGTTCTACACACCGGCCATTTATTTTATTTATTTATTCATGAAACAATTTACATTGTATTTGAAATTACATGGCTCATAATAAATTTGCTTACAAATATTGATTACATAACTAGTTACAAATTGCATTAAAACCGAACTCAATTCATAAAATATATCATTTCTAATTTTTTGGCAACTCATTATCAATAAATGTCAAAGTACGATAATATATGTAAAAGTATACAATTATAAAACTATAAATAAATATAAAATTCAGTTAAATATGTCAATAAGAGTTATTAATATTATGAAGGTCATAAAAGCGATTTTAAGGGATATAAAGTAAGACCGTCATCTTATATTGAAATAATTGATTATATATATTTATTCTCATTTATCACCAATTCAGACATCGAATATATATTTTCTTAAAATAATTTTTCTTGACGTGGTAGAGCCATGCTGCAGTTATATTGTAGTATAGTTGTAGCACAAATGGGTCGGCTTGACCGGGGAAGGACCACGCTCTCACAGAATACCAGCGATAAATAGTAGCTTAATGCTGCTGTGTTTCGTATGGTGAGTGTAGAGAACCGGATACCCTTTTTACTGGAAACGAGGCATTCCATCTTAGGTCTCACGGGTGACAACGCATCTGCATTTTGCTTCGTAATCGAAGATAGATGTTTTACCATATTCAATTTTGTAGTAATATTATTTTTTATTGCCTTTATACGTGTGCTCTCCCTGAATTCCCTTTCCTTTTGCGTTTCGTATTATCATATATACATAGCCAAAATGGCTTAGGACGAATAAAATATATAAACTTATAGTCAACCAAATCTAAGAAATACGTTTTGACAGCTGTCAGACTTATTCCACCAAGCATGCAAACCAAAAAATGAGAACGTACAAAATTCGATTCCTGAGAAAATCGATATCAATTATTTAGAGTTGGTCATCATTTACGGTTTGAATAATACCAAAATAAATTAAAAACGGGTAATTTAAAACAAAGAATTTATCAGTTTTGTCGTATTTGTTGTTACTGCTTATTTCTAGAGGCAAAGTTATAAACATTTTAGATTGAAATTAAATAAAAAATAATTCGTTATTTATAATAATAATAATCAGCAAAAATATTCAAATAATAATTCGATTATTTGAATATTTTTGCTGATTATTCGCATAACAATGAATTTTAATCATTCAAACACTACGGTAAGGTACGTAGCGACATATCATTGAAAGGAAGTCAAGTAAAAATGTTGATACTGGTTATTTTTTTAAATATTTTGATTTGTTTGAAAGATTCGAATTTAAATTAGTATTAAAAAACTATACACGTTGTATTGAAATATAGATAACTTCATAATTCTTTGGATTTACGTAAAAGGTTATTTTAAATCGTGTAGGTATGCTTGTGCAAAGTTATTGCAGAATGATTAATGTGAAACGTCAAAAAGTATTTCTTAGATTTGCTTGACTGTAATACTGTTAATATGCCCAATTTTTTAAAGTGTTCTTAACATGACTCACGTTACGAGATCCTAACAATAATTCTTATAGCACGGTTCTGAAGGATGAATGCTCTCTGGTAATTATAGCTGTAGTTGTTTCCCAAACCATTATGCTCTATCTCAACCTAGATTCTACCGGTACGTGATATACTATTTTCAGTTGGTTTAAATTAATTTCATCCCTTAAGCTTCAAAGTGCGTAACAGGCAGAAGATATAGATGCATCAATTGCGGCGAGTTCTTCCTTCGAGTTTAATTGAGAATCTATATTTATTCCTAAGAATTTTACTAGTTTGTAGTTTTTGTTCCTAAGAAGTTCCTAAGTTCCTGTATTTACCAGTTTGATTTTACCTCCTTTTAATTTGATCCAAGTTATCATTGGTCTTGTCATTATTTCTCGGAATAACGTTTCCGAGTACTGGAACAAACTTATGTCTGAAGTCGAGACTTTGCTGAACAAAGTAAATGCTGAGCAAAATATACAAAATATAGTCCAGTTCAATCCCAGAAGACTCTCGTCGTATCTCCTCAGTTTTAAGGTGCTCCCCTTGTTGCCTCAGCCAGTATTAGCCATAGCGAACGATGTGCAGTTATATGGTCACTTGGAAGAGAAGGCCAAAATAGCCACTAAAAAGCTTGGCGTGCTCAGCAGAGCGGGACAGTATTTCATGCCAACACACCGCCTGCAACTTTACAAGGCGCAGTTCCTGCCTCAAATGGAATACTGTTCCCATCTCTGGGCTGGGGCTCCCCATTACCAGCTCCATCCACTTGAGCGCATCCAGCGCAGAGCGTCTCGAATCTTCGACGACCGAGTCCTCTCCGATCGCCTCGAGTAACTGGCGATGCAAAGAGATGTTACATCCCATTGCGTCTTCTACGAGGGCGACACTAAAAGTTTTTAGAACTGGCCACTTGTAAACGATATAATAAAAAATAAGTTCAAATTTTGAAAATGGAACTCTGTTTGGCAGAAAAAATCGCTAGCATGCGCTTGTAAGCAAAACGGCGATCGTAAGCAGTAAGCGCTGTCAAATCGTAAGTAGCTATTTTACTCTAGGATACGAAGTTAGTTTTAACAGGGGAACCTAACCTAAATTAAATATATGTTTGTAAAGTATTCATATTAAAAACTTGCCAATCATGAATTTTTAATAATATGTATATATATGTCTATTCATTTCATTATATTACTTAAAACTAATATTGCGCAAAACAACTTATAAACTCTACTTCAAAACAAACAAATTAAATAAGCAAAATGGCGGATTGTGTCAGCGCTACTGAAGTACGCTACGCTAGCAAACGTGTCCTGGCCGAAAACTGTTTAGTTTCGGCATTTTGCTTACAAGCGCTTGCTAGCGATGATGGAGACTGACAAAAGAGTGACTTATCAGCTGATTCGGACAAGCTTAGGCGTCGGTATGAGTCAAATGCACAAAATTCTCCATGAACATTTAGCGGTCAGGAAGCTTTGTGCCCGGTAGATAAATCATGTTTTAACAGAGCTCCAAAAACTCCGTCGTGTTGATTGGTGTCGTGAAATGGTTCAAAGATTTAACGGAGGTGAATCAAATGCTGTGTTCGGCATACTCACGGGTGACGAAAGATGGATTTATTGTTATGAGCCTGAAAATAATAGACAGCCTGCTGTCTGGGTGTGTCCTTCCAAGAAGTTGCCAACTGAAAAAGTGAAGAGAGGTCGAAGCGTGGGAAAAAGATGGTGTCGTCGTTCTTCGGAAGGACAGGTCATTACGCAACAGTTGTTTTAGAGAATCGAAAAACAGTTACTGCAGAGTGGTACACTAACAATTGTTTGCCGCTTGTCTTGGAAAAAGTTCGGGAGAAACCACGACAACGCCTTGTCGCACAGCGCCAAGCAAACAATCGACTACTTGGCGACGTCAGAAATGGAATTACTGGGTCAACCTCGCACCTTGTGATTTATATTTATTTCCGAAAATAAAAGAAAAACTTCGAGGAAAACGTTTTATGGACCGCCGAGGCAGCAGGGGCTGCGTTTCGAAATGCCGCCGAATAGGACGAGGACCTAAGGACGAGTGGGCAAAGTGCTTCTCTCAGTGGTTCAATCGGATGCAGCGATGTATTGTTGTAAATGGACACTATTTTGAAAAGATATAATAAAACTAATAACTTGCTAGTTTGTTTAGTTTTTGATTTTCTAAGAACTTTCAGTGTCACCCTCGTATCGCATATACCTCTGTTCGCAAAGCACTCCTCTCCCTGGCATCCACAAGTCGAGTGGGCTTGACGGAATCCCCCCAATTGTGCTGAGGACGTGTGCTCCAGAGTTGGAACCGGTTTTAACGCGTCTTTTCCGTCCACCCGATCCCTAAAAAAAGCGACCGTTCAACCCGTCCAACTATAGGCCTATCGCCATCATTCTCCAAAACAATGAAGTCCATTGTTGTAAACTGCCAGCTCATGGGGTACCTTGGGGATCACTAGCTGATTAGTGATCGCCAATACGGTTTTTCGTCGTTGTCGATCAGCTGGTGATCTTCTGGTCTACCCGACTCATAGATGGGCGAAGGCAGTAGAGTCCAAGGGGGAGGCATTGGCTGTTAATTTGGACATTGCGAAGGCCTTCGATCGGGTTTGGCACAAAGCGCTTCTTAAGATGCTCCCTTCCTATGGGCTTACCGAGAAATTGTGCAATTGGATCACCAGCTTTCTTGCAGATTGGAGCATCTAGGTCGTTGATTGTAGACGGTGCAAGCTCCGATTACAGGCCGAAAAACGCTGGTGTAGCAGAAGGCTTCGTGCTATCACCAACGCTGTTTCTTCTCCATATAAATGATATGTCGAAAACCGGTAACATTCATTGCTATGCTGATGAAAGCACTGGTGATGCTCTGTACACCGCCCGTGCCAATATTTCTCGGGAAAACGTCTCCGAGTACCTGGACAAACTTGTGTCTGAAAAGACACGACGTCTTTGCTGAAAAAAGTCTCGGATTGGGGGCGACTAAATCTAGTCCAGTCTAACCCTCAGAAGACAAAAGAACCCCTTGTCGTATCTCCTCACTTTCAAGGCACTCCCCCTGTTGCCATAGCCAGTATCGAATTCCTTGGCGTCGACATATCGAGTAACGTGCAGTTTCGTAGTCACTTGGAAGAGAAGGCCAAATTGGCCTCTAAAAATCTTGGCGTGCTCAGCTGAGCGGGACAGTATATCATGCCGGCACACCGCCTGCTACTTTACAAGGCGCAGGTTCGGCCGCACGTGGAATACTGTTCCCATCTTCGGGCTGGGGCTCCCCAGTTCCAGCTCCTTCCACTTGACCGGATCCAGTGCAGAGCGGCTCATATCGTCGACGACCGAGCGCTTTCGAATCGGCTCGATTCACTGTCGTTGCGAAGAGTTGTGTTGTTGCATCTCTTTCGCATATACCACGGAGAGTGCTCTAAAAATTGTTCGGATTAATCCCAGCCGTCGAATTTCATGAACGCACTACGCGGCATACCTCCCGATACCGTCCACACCATCTGGATGCTTGGTGGTCCACCACTGTACGTTTCACTAGGAGTTTTCTTCCGCGTTTGACCTCTCTGTAGAATAGTTTACCACCGACCATTTATCCGGATCGATACTACGTAGAGACCTTCAAGAAAAGAGCTTACTCCTTTCTAAAGGGCCGGCAACGCACTTGAAATTCCCCTGGTGTAGCGGTCGTTCGTGGACGGTGGTAGTCACTTAACATCAGGTGAACCGTGTGTTCGTTTGCCCTATATTCTATATGAAAAAACATCATATGTAACGTCCATCTCACACCTATGCCGGTAGTAGGGAACATCAAGTTTGAAGTTGTTGACGAGTATGTTTGATAAACCTGGGGCAAATAGTCCGACTTGGTAAGTCCAACTTCGTCCCAGAGGTCAATCGACCGATGGACTTTGATAGGCTGGAATAATTAATACGTGACACGCATTTCTTTTGAATATCGCGTTGAAGATGAGGCTCTTAAGTTGTTGTAAGAGAAGAGTGTAGACTAAAAGTTGTACTATTTAAACTATTTGGTATCTACTATTTGGTTACAGCACAAATGGTTTTCGCCTCGGCCGGGGAAGGACTACGCACTCGCCGAAAATCAGCTTATAACAGCTTTTACTGGTAACGAGGCATTTCATCTTAGCTCCGGATTGACAACAAATCTGTATGTTGGTTCTTAGTCGATGATAGATATAAGTGCCGTAGCCTATAGAGGGTGTCTCTAGGCCACGGTACTTATTTACCATCAGGTGAATTGTTTGCTTGCTTGTAATCCTTCACCACCACCGTCACCACCATCATTACCACCATTATCACCACCATAAACACCACCACGACCACCTTTATTATCATCGTCACACATAACACTGTCCTAAGCCATCTCCAGCCATCTTCTTCCTGCATCTCCTAGGTCGTTAACTAATCTAGTGGGGGGCCGCCTTACATTTTGCTTACCGGAGGCTGTGACTCGAGAATCATTCTCTATTGGTTAGAAAAATCTTTTGATGTTAAATGACCTTATTTTAAACATTTTTTATATTTATAGTTCCTTATTTATGTAAGCTAAGACCGAATGATAGCATTGTTTTTAAGTGGGTTTATTTAATTGTTTCAGTCTGGTCCCAGCAACAGCCAGGGTCTGGTTTCGTCGCTGATGAACCACCTAAAGGTGCCACCGCAGCTCATCAATATGTCGACGCCCGCCGGCTCCAGCAAAAAAACGCAGCCGCCAGTAACAGAAACAGCCAATGGGCTTGTTAACATTGCCCCGTTTTGTAAGTTATAATAGCAGTGCTCATAATATCGTTTACGGATTTTAAGAATTAATAGGATCTAATTTTTGCAAATTTTACATCTATCTCTGTGATACTTTTTAACTATGTTCAATCGATAGGCAGGCATTATTCTAATAAATTATTTAATCGTTAGTATTAATAGTATAATTATAAATAACAATGTTAGTAATTTGAAATTTTAATATGTATCTATGTTGCTGTAATAAAATTTTGTAATCTCAAATATGATATGATTTAACATATAAAAGACGTCGGTTTTATATTTGATACCGTGATATATTAGTTATCTTAAATCAGGGTTAGTAAATGATAAAGTTTATCGACTGGAGCACACGGCCTAGCACGTTAACGATCGTTACGATCATCGAGGTGACGAGATCGTTTGACGTCATCCGGCTCGAAGGACCTAATTATTTTCTGTTTAAGTGTGATTGCGTACATTGAAGTATTTAAGTTAATATATCTGTTTAACGCGTAAAGTCGTCCAATGTCAAATGGAATAACGTAGTAGTAGAAAATGTATTATAATAAAGTTGAAGCTGAGTTTGAAAAGTTAGAGGTTTAAGTATTTGATTCTCTTGATGGTAATACACTGAGATTTGAATCCAGGATCTCAAGATTATCGTGCTTATGACCACTAAATGGAAGAGACTGAGGCAAGACTGAATTGGTTTTTATCAAGCTAAGTCAGTGCCCTTTATCATCTTCATTTACATATATACTTACCATTAAGCGGGAACGTATCTGAAAAGCGAAGCGAAGGATGATTCCGAGCACGGCCTTGCAAAACCGGCCTGCAGTCGTAAGAATTTTCGTGTGTATGTAGGCACGGTGTCGTGCGACAACCCGACGGCGCAGGCGGCGGACGTGCTGCTGGACGGCGGCGGAAGTGGTGGCGCATGCGCGGCGCGGCGCGTTCGCGCGGCCGCTTGGTCTTACCACTTCTTCAGCGCGGACGACGCCTCGCTCGCACTCACACTCACGCTGCCCTACGCCGCGCTGCTGCACGAGGTGCACCTGCAGCCGCACCTCACCAGCCTCGCCAGTCAGTACCGCGCACTTCTACACACCTAAACACACGCACACGAACACGCACACGTATGCACGCACGAAAAAACAGACACACAATCACGTCCCATGTCAAAAAACAGGATTTGCCTTTATGGTCACGCTTGACAAGAGGATTGGTGATTACAGTACCGGGCGTCTTGCACTAGTAGTCAAGATATCTTATAAGTCCACTCTACACTTCCACTTACTGCCATAATTTTATACAATGCTTACAAAAAGCACACAGTCTGTCTATTAACACGTGAATGTCGTGGCCTATATATCTATTCGCAATTAAGGATGAAAATACAGATCACTAATAAAAAAGGTCTTTAGTTCTTGCCATTTACAATACTTATTTGATTTGTATTCTGCGCAATTGTGGTTCTCCTAGACCGAGACGGTTCGTTCGTGCTGCAGCAGTAATTTAATTGCAGTAGCTCCACTACATATAAAACTTTTTATAGAATAAAGGTGACAAATAAGCCCATGATCAACATGATAGTAAGTGAATATAGATAATATAGGCCTATAGACACCTACATCTATTCTCGATTAAGAATCCAAATTTAGACGCATTGTCACATCTGAGGACTAAGATAAAATGCTTCGTTACTAGTAAAAAGTGTCTCCGGTTCTTTACACACACCATATGATGGTATTCTGTGAGAATGTGGTTCTACCCTATCGAGCCGACTATGTGTGCTGCAAACTGCAATCTTAATATACTCTGATTCTTCTACGGGTAAAACTGTTCACCAAGTACCATGGACAAAGAAATAGACGCTCATTAGGGTTGACTAGTGGTAGTTATTATTAATGTTGTACATATAATTTTGAGTTAACATACTGGAGGAAGGAGCCGTGGTAGCTCAGATGGTAAATATAACAAAACGCGAGTAACCCGGGTTGAAATGAGGGAGGCCTGTGCCCAGCAGTTGGACATATATAGGTTGTGACTTTACTTTACTATACTGGAGGAAGTCAATGGATTCAGGTGACTCAGGACTGTGCTTTACGGCATTCTTTGGGTAAGGTTTATCAATGGACCTGTGAAGAAGGGCTGTAATGATGATGACGATATAATGAACATAATATAATTTTGTCAATATTGATTTAACTTGACATTGAATGTTCATAAGAAAACTATATATACAATATATAACGTAATTAACGCACACCCTCAGACACCCCAATTAGTATATTATGTTATAAACATAATACATACTCTGAATTTTTAGTTAAACATTTTTATGCACTGATTATTTATCAAATTAGTTATACTAATTCTGGAAGAATGTTGTGGTCACAGTACAAATCCGCGAACGCAAAGACTTTAATGTCCTTGAAATAAGGTTCATTTTTCTTTATTTTTATTGAAAGACGGAATAAGTAATGATACAAATAAAACTGCACTTTTAAAAAGTCTTATTGCCTTAAGTTACGGTCCATTTCAGATTGTTTTGACTGTGCAGATTTAGTGTGACTGTAATTTACGTAATTTTAATTATTTTTGGGATAAAAAATTACCTATATTAAAAATGATAGGAATCGATTCAGTAAACGATTCTGAACAAACTACTTTCTCAAAGTGCGTTAATTATGTTACATGTTATATATATATATATATATATATATATATATATATATATATATATATATATATATATATATATATATATATATATATATATATATTCTGATGCTAAACATGGATTTATAATAATATAACTGGAATAATTTGTCGTTAATCACCGTGCTTGTTGGGATGCCTAACCCACCCGGGGTTAGGCATCGTATTGGTGATTTACATTTAATTTTTTGTTGTCGTCTTTTCCTAGCATTGTTTATATTGTTTGTAGTTATTGTTGGTCAACTTTTACAATATTCATAAGATGTGACATGTACAAGATGAGGAGTTAGTGAATGTGACGTAATGTGAGGTTGTGTGTGGCGGTATGGTGCAGCATGCCCGGGCGCGGTGTGCGTGGAAACGGGAAGCGCGGGCCCGCTGGCGCCGCTGGGCCCGCCGCAGGCTACGGCCGGCATGACGTTCATCCGGCTGGTGCTGGCGCGCCCGGTGGTGGCCAGCACCGTGCAGCTGCGGCTCTACAAGCCGCGCGACAGCTCCTACATGGGCCTGCTGCAGCTGCGCCTCATCGTCGCGCCCGCCTTCGCTGCGCCCGCGCACCTCGCGCGCAACGGCATCACGTGAGCCTTATCTATTCACTCATTCACATTCCTTCATATTCATACGTGGGAGACCTAATAGATTGACTCATAATCCTCCCTATGCGGTTTTAAGCTATAGTTTTACACAGCTAGGCTTGGTAGTATTAGCTTTATTTATGCACTCTTTTCTACATTAATTTATATTCGGCAGCCTATCCCATAGATTCAGTAAATAGTTTCGTAACTTTGAGTAGGTGGCTTTTTATTGGTTAGTTATAAACAAATCAGTAAATAGCTTACGGTCGTAAAAGGAGAATCTATTTAATTACTTAAATATATGTACTTATTTTTGAATTACAGAACATTTATTTTTATCGTTATGCTTGTCAGAAATTAGTTATTGATGTACTGTTTAATTTAAGATGCAGTTTCCCCATACTGAAATAGTGATTTTTTTATACTTGAACTAATTATCATATATATAGTATACTTGAACCGATATATAATAATATAATATCCATAATCCATCCATATCCATAAAGCCCTTCAAAGTCCATTGGTGAACGTAGGCTTCCCTAATAAATTGCTGAAATGAACCCCCTATGATTGATTTTGGTCGTCCTTTCCAAGCTAGGGAGGCGTGTTGGCAACTGCAGCTTTTTATTATAATGTAACAAATAAAAAATAAGAAAAAAATAACAAATTAAGGAATGCTTCGGTTTGGTCATAATAAAATTAATCAGAAATCTTTATTAAAATGACAAAGTACTATGCGTAATATTAAACGAAGATATGCAGACGCCAAAGAAAGTCCGACCCCTACCCCTCTGTTATATTATATTATATTATTTACCAGTAATTAATTTGTTATTAGAAATTTTCTGCAGTTTCAGTTTCCCCTCTGTCACCTCTTACGACATGGTGGGAGGGCGTGGGGTAGTGGATATTCTTACACTGTTAGGCGAATGCTACACGCGCGATATTTATTACGATCTGGGACGCTGACGCTGACGTATCGTGATCCAAATCGACACACCGTACACGTTCATTACGGATTACGTCAGTATTGGGCACAAAACTGTTAAATGCAGACATATCTGAATTGGACCGAAATGTAGAAAAATTTTTTTAATAGTGTACTGTGGCCGATAGACATCTACATCTATCCTCGATTACAAACAACGATGCGTTGTGTCACCTGTGAGGACTAAGATGGAATGCCTCGATTCCAGTAAAAAGGGTCTCCGGTTCTCTACACTCACCATACGAAACACAGCAGTAATAAGCTACTATTTTATGCTGGTATTCTGTGAAAGCTTGTTCCTTCCCCGGTCGAGCCGACCCATTTGTGCTACAACTGTACTAATATAACTGCAGCATGGCTCTACCACATATAAAAGCGTGCTTAAAGCTTGTGTGGCTATCATTATGGCAAGAATATTGAAAAGGAGAGTGTCGATTTTTACGCATTAAGTTTGCCTTTGTGTCAATTATTATTTTGAGTGCATTAAGGAATTTTCTATGATCTATCTAAAGAAGTTGCGGAGAAATGAGCGTAAGTTATTGCGCAATATATTAGTAAGGTAGTGGGCGAGCAGTAGTGTGTACTGTTAGAGAGAATAGTGTAGGTGTAGATGACAGTAGTACGGTATTGCAGCAACGAGTGGGCCAGCGTGGTGGCGGAGTGCACGCGCGCGCGGCTGGAGAGCGCGCGCTGGGCGCGGGCGGGGCGCGCGGCGGCCGTGCGCGCGCTTTGCGGCGCCGTGCTGGCGCCGGCGACCGGCCGCGCGCGCGCGCACGCGCACCACGCGCTGCTGGCGGCCGCGCGCGCCTGTCCCGACCTGCGCGCGCCGCTGCTGAACGCGCTGCTCGCCGCGGACCACCACGCCTACGCATACGGTACCACACACAACTTCACCTTTACTAAATCTATTTATTAACTCGCTCTACTCTGTGTCTGTTTGACTCCAATTTACTTATTCATTTTTAACTAACTTCCCAATTTCTTGATAATTTGAACGTAATTTGAAATCAGCTAACAATGTAAAGAATATGAAAAGACGAAAACTTTTATTCGTTATAAAAAAAAGTTTTATGTATTCAAAATATTTACCAATTGACTTGTAAGTAAAGGAACGAACATTCGTCGTATCTAAAATATTAACGCTAACAAAAATTTTTAACATACCAATTGAATTTTTGAAACCAATTTTTACGGATTTTATCGCGTTTAATTTAACTTTTTAATTCCGACGTTTGGGATGTTTTACAATACCCATGGTCATGGGGAGACCCAGATGTTTGACGTCCCGATGTCATAGTTAACCCGGTTACCTTCAATTTTTGATATTAATTTTTGATCCGATATAAGCAGAATGAGCTATAATTAATAAAATTAAATCCAAACTCAAACAAACCACTGCAAAACTTCAAGATATTGCAAGCTCGTACTGCGTAGATCGGACCAAAAATTAATATAAAAAAACTAAAGATAGCCGAGCTCACTATTACATCGGTACGTCAAACATCTCAATGCGCCCGTGACCATGGGTGCTGTAAAGCACCCGAAACGACAAGAATTAAAATTTTTAATCAAACGTGATATTTCGTAAAAATTAGTTTCATTTAATATGTAGTGTTCCCATAAATATAAGAAATCATTATGTGAGTCAGCAGAAATGTACGTTTGTACTGTACACTCACAAACATCAATAGGAAAAAACATATACATAGAAGCGACAGTAGCCTAATGGCAGGGCGCGGACCGCGAACTGAAAAAGGTCGTAGGTTCGAATCCGCCATTCGACTACTGGCGTGAACCACTTGTAACACAAGCAATTTAAGCTTACCAAGAGTGGTTAAGGGGAATATTAGTAATGTTTATAGCATTGTTAATATTCTTTTATAAAAAAAAATATGTTTACACACGATAGAAATGAAACCTTCAGTATAGGAGTCAGAGCCATCCTCTATATCATTTTGTCATCAGTCAAAACCTATATATTGATATGTTTATCTCCTTTTAATATCGCTTTTTCTTTTCACCCAGTTTCAAAAAATCATTCTAAAAAATTCACTTCAAAAAATTATTCCAAACAGGCTTATATCTCCTGTACATTTTAATCAAACAAGGAAAACACGTAAGCATAATAGACAATAACGAACCCACCTAGACATTACAATTAGTTAATTACTGCAACAATTTGTAACTCTAAATCTAAGACAACAAACTTGTATGCACTTAGTTTTTTTCTGCCTGTATAAAAATTCGTGAAAAATTTAAAACTTTTTATCATTTACTGCCTCGTTGCATTAGTGACATGTTGAATCTGTTTTAAGATGCACTTGTTTGTTTTCACTTGACCGAAATATTTTAGTAAAATATTTAAACTTTTTGGATATCGACGAAAACGTTTGAATTTGAGCTATATTTCATGTATTTTGCATGTTAGGGTTGGTCAGTAACGGCTGGTATTGCATGCGCAGCGTTCCAGAGTAAGTCGGGTTGCGGGGGCAGCGTGGGCGGTGCGGGCGGCGGGCGCAGCGTGCAGGCGGTGTGCGCTGCGGCGCGGCAGCTGTGCCGGCGCTGCCCGGCCGGCTCGGCCGCCGCCTACGTGCGCTGGCTGCACGCCGCGGCCGGCGCGCCCCGCGCCCCGCCCGCGCGCCCTCCGCCGCGCTGCTGCACACGCTCGCATCCGTAAGTCAACCCACCCCGCTCGCACGTCACGCACCTCGTGCACCTCTTGCACTTCTTCCCGCGTTTCTCGCAACTCCCGCGTCTCGTACTTCCTGCATTTCCGCACTTGCACTTTCCGCATTCCTTACAGTTCACAAATCTTAACTACTTTTACACCATACGCACATCGCATACCGCACACAGCTCCTCACACCTCGCAATGCTCACACCTCTCACCTTACTCGACTCCTGCACCTCGTGCAACACTTAGCACGTTACTTACAATTACTTCATCATCATCATCATTACAGCCCTTCACAAGTCCACTGCTGAACATAGGCTTCCCCCAAGGTATGCCACAAAGCACGGTGCTGAGCTACCTGCATCCATCGACTTCCTGCATGTCTTACCAGGTCATCACTCCATCTAGTGGGGGGTCGCCCTACACTTCAACAACAAAACACTACAATTACCTGAAAGAGAGAAATATTAGAAATATTTATATGAATATCTATACAGATATCAGTTTAACTAGCTTTTATATATACATATATAAATGTAAATTACTTAGACTGATGATGGGAAACAACGCCAAAAGTGCGCAACTTCTGGTACAGCAATCGCCGGTCGGCCTGACAAGCGAGGCGGTTTATCGCAAATCTTCCTCACTTTTTTATAGGTCCATATCCTTTAATGGGTTACAACAGAACAATAAAAATAACTAATTTGCAAAGAAAACAAATAGAAGAAAAATATACAAAACATTTTTGTTGTTTACTGTTTCCAGCTTTACTGGACTTTCCAAAAAAAGCTGTCAACAGGGCCTGTTTTTCTTAAAATTCGAGTAAAATTAGTGCAATTCTATTTAAGCTTTTTCTAATTAAACACAATGTATTATTTAATTTTTAACCTTTATTAAGTCCAAGTTTTAAAGGTTTAAAAGTCCTTTCGCAAGTTTTTCACAAAAAAAAATATTTACATTAATATGACAGGTGCTATGGACATTAAAAGAGGAGAGACTACTCGACGATTTAGAAGAACTAATCACAGACGAACTATTTGAACTCGTGTATGCATGGGTTCAGGATATAAAAGAACCTAGCCTCTTGAAGAAAGCACTTGATGCCAGTGAGTAAATTGATATAATTTTTAGAAATATACATACTTATATTCATATACTCACTATAGTGCAGAAGCAAGCTTTCAATGTTCTAATTTTGTACTTAATTTAAAACAACATCACAAACTATTAGAAAGATACCTAAGTATAGATCTTTTGTAGTTATAATCTTTCGAATTTTTATGCAACCAATGTCTATTTATTTTCAGTACTATGCTCCATGTGCTACATAAGACCAGAGTTGTTCACGAAGCTATTAGAACACATGGGCGTGCCCACGGATAGTGATGAAAGGTTTGTTTCGTTAAGATAATTCTACGTACATTTATGCAACTCTATCCTTTTATTTTCTAATCTACAAGTGAAGACTTTGGTAATATTTAATTTCTTCATAAATGTATAAAACAATTAATTGTAAATAATTATTGTGAATTTTCTTGAAAACCAATAAAATATTAGATGAAAAAACGTATTTTCGATAAATATATGATAATAATTTGACGACTCCATGGCGCAGTGGCTTAGCAATGAGTGGCTGCGCTGGGGGTCTAAAAATAAATAAAAAAAACAAATAAAAAAAAAAAAAAAAATAATGGTACATAAAAAATATATGTAATAAACCATAAGGTAAATTTCATCCTTATTAAGATTTTAATCTATTGTGTCTTATATAGCCAATCATTTTACTGGTGTAATCTTTGACAGTTGCTCGCTAAGATAGTGTTCTTTCTGCTGGGTTCGATTTGGCTTTTAATATTATAATGCATTCGATTCCGGTATTATTAGTTGAATAGTAAAACAGACCCTTAGAATTGCCGGGCTCGTTTGATTTCGTTCGGTTATTAGTGTTTACCTATCTCAATTGGATCGATTCCCCTGTGTTTCTTGGCGCTATTTGATCTTAGTTTGTAAGCTTATTCCTACTTTTTAGTTTTATTTACAATGTTGTAAGAGGCGACAATGGGAAAATCCCGAAAAAGTATATGACTTCAGATAAATAGGGGTATACCATCTTATCTATATCATCTTTCTGTATGCAAGATGTAAAATAGTTCTACCGACGGCGAGGAATAGTGTCGAAGGTCCGATAGATAGGTCTGGTACTGCGGTCTCCGATTCACCAGTCAAGCTTGGTGATTAAATTTGTCAAGGCTATAAGGCGAAGAGGATGTGGCAGGCAGACAGAGCAGAGAATAAAGACGTTATTGTTGATTTTTATCTACGTACGAGTCGAGTATACAAAACGTTTCGCACCTTTCACGATAAAAAGATACCGCAATCAATGTGAAGCCATTATATTTTCCATAGCCGCCTTTTTCGTCATGACATGAAATGGGCCGTGGATTCTATGGCCATCACACGGCACAATAATGGAGCGTTGCGTTGTTTGTGCAGCATGGAGGGACTGACAGACGACGGCAAGGTGCGTGGCGCGGCGGCTGGAGCACGGCGGTCGGCTGGGAGCGGCGCGGGCGTAGGGGCGGGCGGCGCACGCCTAAGCGGGCGGCAGCTGCGCACACTGGCCGCCGCCGCGCTGTCGCCCGCCGCCCCCACGCTCACGCTGCTGCACTCGCCGCTGCCGCGCGACCTCGTACGCTGCCTCGCAGGTGTGTCTGTGTGTGTACGTGCGTGCGAGCTAGCGAGCGAGCGTACGTGCATGTGAACGTACCCCATTGCGAACATTACTCAATCAACTAAAAACTAAAGCGAACAATAAAACATACATATTTGAACATTACAATTCTGAACTGATAGTATCTCATTATCAGATTTCCAAAAAAAAGTTTCCCAATTTTATTGTAGTCTTGTTATGTATTGTAGTATTGAGCTATGCTTAATTCCCCTTATATTAAATTAACGCTCATCTTAAAGTTATTATAATACGAGACAAAATAGAATATGATCCACGGCAATAAAACTAAAACTTTAAAAGCTGCCTTAACGTGTACTACATGGCGCAGGAAAACTTCGTAAGGAAACCTAAATATTATTTGAAAAATTAAAAAAAAAAAAAACTTCTGTCCGCTAACATAATTTGGGAGGCAGCGCGCCTCAGGAAACCATGTTAATAATGAGAGACCTAATAATGAGAACACATATATAAACTACTTTTAATTTACTTTGCTATATAATTTTTACCATGTGCTCGGTGGTGAAGGAAAACATCGTGAGGAAGACTGCATGTCTGAGAAATAAGAAATAATATTTCGAAGACATATAATGTTCGCCAACACGCATTAGGGTAGAGCGGCGGATATTTCCTTGTCATAAAACCCTCTTGGAAAGAAGGCCTGTGCCCAACACTGCGACCTATATAGGCTGTTACTTTACTTTACTTTTTATATAATTCTAACTCCGATATTTTACTTAATTTTTACATTACTATGTATCGTAATTCTACTACTGACCTTTCCCAGATTTATCAAAAAGTTATATTTTCTTTGTTTCATACAAAATTTTAACCAATAATAACTTGAAATTACCTTACATTATTTTTCATTAGTTGGCAAGCAATATTAAGATTAATGTGGTCCATTCTATCAAATTTTTCATTATAATTTATATTTTACTTTGCATATTTAACTTATATTTGGCATTTATATAATTAATTTATGTTACTATCACATTAGTATTAATTAGCTTTAAATAATTCGAATGATATTTCTTGTGCAGAATATAGTGAGGCTAAACTACAATTAATTAAGGAACAAGAGCGCACTCAAGTAGAAGACGTTCACATGACTGAAACGGATAAGGAAATGGATCAAAGTAAACCTGGTAAGTGTCATCTTTTATTATTATCGTTCTCTTCCTATTATTAGTTATATGGCGTTAGTTTATACAAAGCTTGGTAATATTTTATATTTTTTAGGATTTTTTTAACTAAAATATGTGTTATTATATATTAACCCTGCAATCCCCATAAAATTCTCATGCAGTCGCATGCGTTCGTCAAATCTCGAGCGGTCGCATGCGACCGCACCCATCCACAGCACTTTAAACCATTAAGACTTATATTTAGGGACTACTTTTCTACGAAGAAGTTTGGCGTTATAGAATTAATACAAAATATAGGTATTTATGGGTTAAAGTGCTTTGTGAGTGGGTGCAATCGGATTCGACCGCTTGAATTTTGACGGAACATCGCCTTGGCCGATCGTGTGCCCATTGAAAGGTTAATAATATTTACATTTGCCAACTAAAAAGATTTAATCAGTCTTAAGACTTAGGTTAGATTGTAAAAGTCTATCGGTAATAGGCAGGAAAGAAGTTTATCATCTAGTAATAGAATATATTAAGAAAAACATGTAACATTTGTTTGGAGTACTGCGCTGAATGTCCTCAATAGTGTCTCTCAATATAAAGGTCTGGAGATTATTTATATTGATGAGTATCCTTGTTTAATACAAATAATCCAATTAGGTAAGTCCAACTTCGACCAAGACGCGGATTGGATGCACAAATGACAGATTTAACTCCGTCAAATTGGAAATGGGCTAGCCATATATAACTCGAAGAACTCACAACCGATGAGGAAGATTTTCTCGAGTGGTAGTCATATACCAGTTAGCTATGTTTAGGGTAGCCCCCTCCTACTTGATGGATTACTGACCTGGTAAGACATACAGGAACTCGATATATGAAGGGGGCTCAAGATAGTGTTGAGTGGTACTCCTTGGGAGAGGCCTATGTTCAGCAGTGTACTTGTGAAGGGTTGCAGTGTTAGTGTATGTAATTTGTTTGTCAGAGCTGCCGCCAATGTCATATATCAGCGACGTGGTGGAGTGGGCGCGGCTGATGTGCGTGGACCGGCGGCTGAAGGACTGGCTGGGCGGGCCCGGCGCCTGCTTCTGGCAGCCGCTGTTGCGCCTGCTCTGCTACCCGCGCCCGCCAGACACGTAACTACCCTCTTTTTTACTAACGTAAAATAAATAAACATATATTTAACTCGAAAGTATATAGGTGGTTATTATAACTGTAACTCATTAGAGTCAATGCTTATACCGGATAAAACTTAAGCACAATGGTGGGTGCAGCGCCACTTCCTGGCAGAAAGATGGGAATATGATATCTATTCTCATGCGCAAACAGTCCTAACACATTCAGATCTGAAAAATGTAATGGTTTTGTACTTTAGGAACTATTGTTTTAAAATAATTCAAAATCTGTTATACTGTAGTTGTTCTAATTGCTGAGACACTTACCTTACTTTAGGTACTACGATAACATTTCCGACCTTACTATATCTGATTTTTGTTTAAAGGAAATCAAAATCTGTTATACTGTAGTTCTAATTGCTAAGACACTTAACTTACTTTGGGTACTGTGATAACATTTCCTACCTTACTATATCTGATTTTTGATGTCCAAAACATATATTATTTTGATTTATTACAGTTCGTGGAAGGAAGGCGCGGATTATGCACAGTTGGAGGAGAACACGATTCGACTGTTTGCTGAACTAACAGTTTGTCACACAGCCAATCAGAAGCTCTTCGCTTCGACACTTCACAGTATTCTCGAGTCTATGGAAAATACAGGTAAATACAGGGTTATTTTGCAATATATGCCCAAATTTGCAGAGAAGGTTCAAAATAAGTAATTTAGGCAAATGGTGACGAAAAAATAACAAAAAATAATCTAAAACATTCTATCTTTTTGTCTTTTAAACTCAGAATGCGTGTTAATGCATAATTTTAACTGATTGTTATTCATAAATATCTAACGCCTACTATTTTATTACGCACGTACTCTTAAGGGTCGCTCGGTCGTCATTAACGTTGTGAATTGAATCGCACACAGTAGTGCGCATACACGTAATTGTTGCTAATAAATCACATTCAATTTGGGATAATTTCAAATAAAAGTAGAAGCTTTATTTACTCGTATTTACAAAAACTGCGATAACGATATATCATTATTTATATATTTGAAGTTAAATAAAAAAAATTGGATACTCTTTGAAACATAACCCTGTATGACTGCAGTAAACTGTACAAAGCTATGGTGTAGAAATGTAATATTTTTATCATTTACTGATGAGAAGAGTCACTCAAATTATATCACTCTGTTTAGTGATTGGCCAAAAATATGAGTATCAGAATTCTTCCATTACTAAGTATCTTTTTACATTCATTTAGATGATTATTTCTATAAAACTGATACTTTTAATTTCACTCTTTTTTTAGCGTTGCTCTCGACGTAAAACTTCACTGAGACTTACATTCATCTAAATTAGTAAACAGACCAATCATCGCTGCTTATTATGTAAAAAAAAATAAAAAATGAAAATAAATTAGAAGTCTCACTAGTGACAAGACAATCAGATGAATTTATTTTAGTTATTTCCATTGCGTAATGTTTTTGTGGGTTTTGAAAAATGCGGCCGATTAAGAAACTAATTTTGTTTTGAGTGTCACAAGAGCCATGTATAACCTAAATTCGAAAGAGCCAAACAAAAATATACATTTTGTTAACACCGGGGACAAACATAAATTATATCAGTTAGTCTGCAATTACTCTCGGTAATTTATTCATGGGGCAAATATGCTTTTGCAACCAAGTCCCAGAAAATATACAAGCTCTATTACTATTTTTTTTTGTTATACACAGACTTTATTAAAAAGTGTTATTATAATATAAATGAATACATCATGGTTGATAATAACCCCTGAGAATGAACTGATGGCTCCTAAACCGTGTTTAAGAGGAGTATTACAAAAAAAAAACGCGAAATTACAAGATTTTCCGTTCGTTGGAAATAACAATTACTTGGTAAAAATAGTTCGTTTTCTCTACTACAATAAGCTCGGCTAAGGCAAAATTTAGATATCTTATTTATTTATTTAGTAATAATAATCATTCTCCCGATTTATGTTTAGGCCAAAACTCTGAGAGACATGATTTGGGAGCTCTAATTTGTAGATTCTATTGAATATCGACAATCAAAAAAAAAATATTTTCATCTCACAAATATCCTATACTATAGTGATAAAATACATTTTCATTATATGCATTTCACGTAAGGAAAAAATCGACATAATTCAATTATCTACTGAAAAAGCTTCGATACAAGCCCCAATATCCGAAGTTTACATACATACACATATATATTACATTATTTTGACGTAAAATTTATACCAAAATAATCTTCATCATTTGATTAAACCATACTATGATTTTTACTTTTTAAATAGTGACTATTATTTTTGAATTAATTAAATAAAAGTACCATATATTTCACTGCGTCGGCCATCTGACTCCACTACCGCGCCAGCGGCTCTCGATGTCGGACCTGTGTCAATTTATTTCACGCCCTCTGTCTCGTTTCGATAATTTCGTAGTATGCGTCGATGACCGTGCGCTGCTATTTTGTGCAAGAGCATCGTCAACTACGCCCGCAATTTTTGATCGTTGGAAGTTACTTTCGTACAGTATACTTCAATTAGTATAGAGTTCGTACATTATTATTATACCAGATAGTTAACTCAATATAGTTATTTTGATTGTAGCTGAGCTGTCTTACCAGTCGGAATGTGGAAAAATAAATACAAATATCAATGTGTCACCAAACGTAAAAAAAAGAAATATCCTATCTCTGGAGAAAAAATAATGGAGAATAAAATGTATGCATGCTTGCCATATAGACTGGCCCAGATTATGCAGAAAAAGTACTAAAAATCTACAAAGACGACAAATTTTGGATTTTGAATATTATATAACATAATATTCAAAATCCAAAATTACAAGTTACAAGTTCCAAGTTACAAGCGTTTTATAAAAAATGTGTACTGCCTGAAATTATTGACTCGAGATAAGCTCGGTCAATGCCGTAGCAGCAAATATTTTTAGAATAAAAATAAAAAAAAAATCCATCCACCGAACTCCATCCTAAGAAAACATGTATAATGAAAGATCAAGATCGTTTAGTGCGAGCGACTGAATAGAGATATGAAATAAAATATCGCTCGCGTACTTCAATGATTATACTAGATTTTAAGGATCAGGAACAAAAATAAGTCTTAAAGTGGCCACGTAACACACGTAAACATCTTTTATCTATATTTCTTTCATAGTAAGAAATATAGATAAAAGATTAAAAATATTAAAAACTTCAGTTAGTTATCACTCAAACATAAAGTTTAAATACCATTGCAAAATATGTTTATTTAAGTTATGGCATCCTACAAAGATACCTTTTGAATATAAAACGTCATAAGTACACAAATATTTGTTCTAAAATGAAACTTAAAGTCTGAGTGATAAGGTTAAGAATATTATGTTAACAATTTCGTGCTTACTCTATTTTATTCCTGGTATTACATTTCAATGTTCGTTAAAATGGCTATGATTGGACCATACTAATTTGAAATAAGACCACAAAAGTATTTGTGGTCTTATTTTTCGGGCCATTTTTGAAGCGCTTATCGGGAATCTAGTAGTATTATTGATCGAAGCTCGCGTAGGTCATTGCCCGTTCGAAGCGTAAAGTTCCTAAATTTGCGTAACGCCGAAATGTAAGAGGGCTCTTAATTCGTTTTTTAGTTACTCGAAAACAAACTGTTTGGTGTTGTATTTTTATTTATAAGATAATGGTGTTTAACGAGCACACGGTACACCTGATGGTAAGTGATTGCTGCAGCTCATAGACATGTACATCTGTCCTCGATTACGAATCAAAATGCAGATGTTTTGACACCCGTGAGGACTAAGATGGGAAGTCTCCTTTCTAGTAAGTATATAAGTAGTAAGTCTCCGGATCGCTACAGTCACCATACGCATAGCAGCGTTAAGCCCGTATTTTACGTTGGTGTTCTGTGAGAGCGTGGTCTTTCCCTGGTCGAGACGACCCTTTCATGATACAACTATACCATTAATATAGCTTCAGCATGGCTCGACTACGTAAGCGTATAGTGTTATCTTGGAAGAAAAAGTCCCGTTGGATTTCATGCTAGTTTTTCCCTGGACAGACTTTTTACCGAATCAGTGGTAGAAGTAAAAAGTTTTTAATTAGAATTATTTATAAACTATATTGAATAAAATATATATTACCACGTGCTCGGCGACGAAGGAAAAGATCGTGACGAAACCTGCATATCTGAGAAATAAAACCGAACACGTCAAGGCCGCCAATGCGCAATGGGGCGGCGAGGTGGATACTTTCTTGCCCTAAAACCCTGTTAGAAGTGGGAGGAGGCCTGTGACCAGCAGTGGGACGTATGTAGGCTGTAACTTTACGAACTTTATTTAGAATAAGAGCGTAATCTAATTAGTCTTAGCACCATTCCAACTATAACAGAGACATTTATTTGTAAATATTGTATAGTGGTGATGTGAGATTAGGGTGCATGTAACAATTTGTGCAGGCGGTGGTGGCCTATCGGGGTTCACGCGCGCGCTGGTGTTGCGGCTGGTGCTGTCGGCGGAGCGCGTGACGGTGGCGGTGCGCTGGGCTGGCGGGCGCGGGCGGCGGCGCGGGCGCGGGAGCGGGCGCAGGCGCGGCGCCGCACCCCGCCGCGCACTGCCACGCGCTGCTCCAGCTGCCCATGCACACCACCGTACGCGCGCTGCTCGCCGACCACCGCCCGCCCGGTCAGCTACTCCCGCTCACACTGCTCACACCACTCGCACTACTGCCCTGCACTACACGCACCACTCGCACTACTCGCACTACTCGCACTACACGCACCACTCGCACTACTCGCACTACACGCACCACTCGCACTACTTGCACTATTCGCTCTAGTAAAACACTCACGGAATACAATACATATACGTTGCTTTGTATAATAATTGTTGCTCATGGGTGTCATAAGAGGTGACTATGGGAAATTAGAATAACCGTATTGCTGCCGATAGATGGCGGAATAATCACACCAGCGTCAAATATATATATTCGGTTTACACCGAACACATTTTGTACGCGTCGGCATTTAACATTAAACTTTTTATTTTTAGCCAGCACATGTACGGACGCCAACAAAGTCTCGTTTGCGTACTCCTAACATTTGTAAACATTTTAACAATAAATATTTTTTAAACGTTTTAACAATTACATTTAACATTTACATCAAAAGGTGTTGAATACCACAACAATATAAGACGTTTGGATTTGTGATCGCCATTTCGCCTGCCACTACAACGGTGAACACTCATGTCAAACCGTGAATATTGATAAAGTACACTGCGTACAAGAACCTCCTTACCTTAATCCAACTGGTAGAAACCGTTATTTGTTCTTAACCATATTATGATATCATATGAGCATTTATAATTTATCTAATTACACAAAAGCCTTTACTTACACAAACCTGTGCATCTGAGCGTAGTAGGTGAATACAATCACGGTGCGTTTATTTCAAACAAATTTGTCATTTTATATTTTTTCTTGTGGATTGAATGAACAATTACCTTTTATTTTTATTTTTATTTATTTATTATAGGACAACACAACAGATTACATCACGACTTAAAGCTATAACTTACAAAAATAATGGTGTGATACAAGACATAATCCTTATACGTGTTATCACGTCGTGCTAAGATTGAGAAACAAACATTTTAAATAAAATTGCTTAAACTAACAGACTCACAATTCCAACAAATCAAGAACTATAAATATAATTAATATCAATCGACGGGGATGTCCTTGAGAATGTCTTTCAAAACATTTCTAAAGCGAACCAGGCTAGAGTTGAAGATGTCAGGGTTGGTAAAGCGAAGGCTATAATCCTCATAAAGTCGACATAACCTTGATAGGGGTTGATTTCGAGAGATATTATTTCGCGATAGGGGTATGTCAAATATTTTTTTCATAGGTCTACGTGGGTTGTGTTTTATGTTAAAATTTAACAGTTCCAAGGCCTCGGCGCTATCCAGTTCCTAGTGTATTATTCTGTGTAGGTTGACTAGGTCCAATTCGTCGCGACGGAGGTGAAGTGGTATCATGTTAAACTCTTTAAGCCTCTCAGCATATGACCGGAGTCTTCTATTGTTGCCAGTACGTAAGCTTAATAACGCAAAAATTTGGATTGGATCGATTCAATGCGCTCAGAATGCACTGCATAGTATGGATTCCATATAATTGAGCTATATTCTAAATTACTTCGAACCAGACTGTTATACAACAAAATTAAACTTTTTGGGTTCCTGAAGTGCCTGCTCTGTCTAGTAACGAAACCTAGTAAACTAAGCTGTTCCTCAAACACGACCCCGAGATCCCTAATAGACGACACACGAGATAGAGTTTGTTGTTCTAAGGTGTAATTGTTTAATACCTTGTTTTTTTTTAAGTGTGTAGGTGATGACAAAGCATTTTTTGACATTAAGGAACATGTTATTTTCTCTGCACCAATTAGACAAGCTGTTTAAGTCTTCCTGTATGATGCGAGTGTCGTCAGCTCCACCAATTCTATTGAAAATTTTTAGGTCGTCAGCTTATAACAGGCAAGGGGACTGAATTTTCTCAATGAGGTCATTAATGAAGGTCACAAAAAGTAAGGGGCCCAAATGGGATCCTTGTGGAACACCGGACTTAGAGGATTTCTTCTGATGTGTACGCCTTGACGGTCACGAGCTGACTCCTGTTCCTGGACTCTAGCCAACGCAACAGACTGCCATGTATACCATGTGACTCGAGTTTCTTACATAAAATTTATGTTTATTTTTCTGTTTATTTTTACTTAAATATCCAATAATTAAGAAATTTCATCCGTTTTTAGGGCCTTAAATAAGATCTAATTGGAACTAAGACTACTATGTGTAGTAGTAGATGGGCACTACGTTATTAAGAATTGGAGAAAAAAGCGATAATTTCAAATATAATATTTTGTGCAATATAGTTAAGTAATATAATAAAATAAAATATAAATGCTATTAAAAACTCATGATGAAGTAATATGAATACTTTACAAACATATAAAATTAGTTAATTCCCCGGTTAAAACTAACATTTATACAATTCATTTTCTCTAAACGCACCCATTACATACTAGATTTCGGTCATTTCTTCGTCAAGTGTGAGCGAGAGAGGAGACTAGTTATTTGTTTTGTAAACCGCGAACGTTGTTTCCAAGAATCTAACACTGATTTTATAATGTGTTTAATTTATTAATAAAAAAACTCTATCATTACGTGCGCACTTTTCAATGTGATTTTTAGTTTATTAAAGATTTTATTTCTTATTTGTCTGAAATCAGTAACTGTCGTAAATTAAAAATACTGTATAAGTACTAAAAAGTATATTAAAAGTACTAAATAAACTGCGCAGCGCTCGCGCTTGCGCGATCCACAGTTATGCCACAGTTTGTGTTCTGAACTGGCGGCTTAGTAGAATACATATAAGTTTTTGGATTGGAAACATATCGTAAAAATAGCGATCCGTTCTGGTTTCGCACGGATAATTTCTAGATCTCGACGACAGCTACGTATCGGACCTAACCATTCTCAAAATGACTTGATCACACACAAAATTTCATCGAAATCGGTCCAGCCTTTTAGGAGTTCAGTGATATATACACGGATAGAAGAATTATATATGTCATCGTAAACTAGCTCAATTAGTCTTACAGTTAACAGCCTAGACATTACATGGCATGGTCACCCTATTAATTTCATTCAACAAGACGGTCGCTGGTTTGTGTCCAAGGACCCCTCCAGACACACTTGATCATACTTATGCTGATATTATAAGATATATGTAATGTTGTATTACTTGCACTGGCTGAGTAATCATCCAGCTGGCTGAAAATCATCCAGTGCGCTAGTTGAACGGCGCCGTTTTGTAAAAGGCTAGACTTTAACTGAAAGGAATTTTTACGTGGTAGAGCCATGCTGCAGTTATATTAGATGTATAGTTGTAGCACGAATGGGTCGGCTCGACCGGGGAAGGACCACGCTCTCACAGAATACCAGCGTCAAATAGTAGCTTAATGCTGCTGTGATTCGTATGGTGAGTGTAGAGAACCGGAGACCCATTTTACTGGAAACGAGGCATTCCATCTTAGTCCTCACGGGTGACAACACATCTGCATTTTGATTCGTAATCGAGGATAGATGTAGATGTCTATGGGCCACAGCAACCACTTACCATCAGGTGGACTGTGTGCTCGATTGTCACCCTATCCTATAAAAAAAAAAGGCCAATTAAGATATTTGGTTGCTACATATTTATAAAGATAAGTGTATGTGGGTGCAGTGCCGCTGATCGAGGAGGCGGCTCATGCGATTACGGCGGGCGCGGGGGCGGCGGGGGGCGCGGGCCGCGTGCCGCGCCGCGCCTCCGACTCGGCGCTGGCTGACGCCTGGCAGCTCAGCCTGGCCGCCGGCAGCGCCTCCAAGGACAAGCGCGTCAAGGACGTCAAGAACACCACGCTCAAGCACCACGCTGCCAAGAAGCGCCAGCCCAAGCCCGCCGCAGACGCCTCGCTATTGTCGCTCACCGACGGTTAGTGTTATATATTATATCCTGAGCCTTTTCAGTCTCATGTTTACAGGAATTTTCTTATAGAATAACGGTGACAAATGAGCACACAGTCCATATGGTAATTGGATATTGGGCGCTGAGGACTAAGATGGAATGCCTGGTTTATAATAAAGAAAATCGCCAGTAATTTATACACACCATACGAAACTATTTTGGATAGTATTCTGTGAAAGCGTGGTCCTTCCAGTCGCGCCGACTCATACATGCTACAACTACTTAGCTGCAACATGGCTTTACGATATATACTATGCGATTCAAATAAAAGTAGAACTGACCTGGTGCCATATTGTGACGTCATAACTGTCAACTTTAACCAGTTAGGTAAGGTAAGCAAAAGAGATATATTTGAAATAATATTTATTTACAAATAAATACAAAAGAAACATGATAGAAATTCGCTCAGATCTGCATTACTGTCTGAGTAATCACCATCGTCGTCATTATCATCACCACCACTATTATCGTCACTGCTGCTTTCCCCTTTAAATTGAAAATGTATTTGAGTAGGCATTTAAAATATTCCACCGATTGTTATTTAAAAGAAGAATAGGCATTTTATTACCCGTGTTTATAATACTAAAGTTATCATCGTCTTGAAATATCTCACTTAGCGGGTATTCGTTTTCGATTCGTTTGACGTGGTTTATTTCTTTCTACCAAACACTGGAATTTGAAACAATAACTTCAAGTATTAGTCTCCCAATTTGGCTCTCTAACTGTTGAACCTTTTTGTTAGTAATACTAACTAATAGTACGAGGGCACACTGATATGATAGGGAATAGAATATTTCGGGTTGAGTTACAATCAAACCTTTTTTAGAATTTGAATACTGGCCTCTTAGAATCTTAATGACATTCAAACAATTAAAAAAATGTTTAAAAACAAAAACTATGTTGGTTTAAAGTTGACACGTCGTTAACAGAAATGGAGCTCACGCGTGAACATTTCCGTGCCATAATTTATCACAATTTTCGTCGCGGCTTATCTCAAGATAAATGTCTCAGCGAACTTGTTTCGATTTATGATGTTGAAGCACCGAGTCAAACAATATACCGCTGGTATGCCAAGTTCCGACGCGGTCGTGTGTCGCTCGGCACTGTTTCTTCTGCAGGTTCGGGCTATTATTAGTATCGGAATGACTACAATTCAGTTGATATTACATAATGAGCTGTGTGTAAGAAAGCTAGTTTCCCGCTGGGTTCCCTACAATTTATCCGAAGAGCAAAAGGCGGCTCGTGTAGATTGGTGCCGGAATAGTCTGCAACGCTTCAACGGAGGGATGTCAAATGCCGTTTATAATATCGTCTCAGGTGACGAATCGTGGATGTATTCATACGAACCTGAAAGAGAACATCAGTCAGCAGTTTGGGTCTTCGAAGTCGAGGTCAAACCAACGAAAGTGGTTCGCACCCGCAGCGTGTCTTAGAAAATCCGAACTCCGAAAAAATAACCCGAAACGTCGTATCTTACATCACGATAATACGAGCTCCCATACGGCTCGGAAGACAAATGATTTTTTGAAGCAAGAAAACCTTGAGCTGATGAGCCATCCTCCGTACAGTCCTGACCTGAGCCCAAACGATTTCTTTACATTCCCTAGAATGATAGATTTATTACGCGGTCAACGGTTTGAAGACCCCGATGCAGCTGTGGAAGCGTACAAATCAGCCATTTTGTCAACATCAGCTTCAGACTGGAATTACTGTTTTAATGATTGGTTTGCGCGAATGGAAAAGTGCATTATGTTGAACAGAGAATACTTCGAAAAACAATAAAATACAATTTAGCTATACCGTGCATGTGGTTTTTCTTATTCCCGATCATTTCAGTGTGCCCCTCGTAATACTCAGTTAAATAAACATAAAAGTGGAAAATGACTTTTCTTTGCAAGCCGTATTTTTCAAGTGATAGTTGAGAGATTAGTCAACCGGGATCATTGCGTTTAAATCGCATAGTAAAATGATTCTAAATTATTCGTTAATGATTCTTGATAATACGTATTCATTTATTCATTCATTGCAGCCAAAAACAGTTAAGTATGTAGTAGTAATAGACCGGACATCAGCAACGAAATTGTAGTCTGTAACTTTTGTCCTGTAGGATTTTTATCATTTAGTCTAAGTGACATCACCGAAAGGTCAAGACGCATTCGTTTCGTAAATTAAAAAATATATTTAATGAAAATATGCCCGATTGTGCATTAAGGTACAGTAAGTCACGATATGGATCAAAAAATGAACATGATTTCGGTTTATTATCCTAAGAATAATGTATATTTACCAAATAGTCTTTAAATTTTATTATTTCTGGCAGGTTGTTCTAGAAGAAAGAAAAATTATTGTAATAAGTGCTCCCTGTTATCCAGTAACGTCACTATTTATTTACAAATGTGCTAGTAATTGACGACGTGTCTAAAACCGATTTTTACCTTATATTTAGAAGCGTCACCTAATGGGATATAGCTAAAATGTTTTCCAAATAAATATTCAGCGTAGTATTGCTATTTTTCGCTAGAGGGCTTAACACACGCGCGTGTTCACAGTTTTTGTATGCAAATGTTCCCAATGTCCGCTCTATAGTAAAAATATATAAAATTTATATATATATATATAAATTACGTGTCACGTTGTTTGTCCGCGATGGACTTCTAAACTACTTAACCGATTTTAATAAAATCTGTACACCGTGTGCAGTTTGGTCCAACTTGAGAGATAGTAAATTTTTTTGCCCATTTTTTTTTGTGAATTGAATGATTTTTATGAGCAGAACAACGTCTGCCTGGCAAGCTATTATATATTTAAATCTCTGTGATTGCAGCCAATCAAAAGTCAACTAATGAACAATAGGCCCCGTAGATTGCCTCAGGGACTATTTGATATAGTTGCCATTCTTGGGAGGCGGGCTTATGAGCCGTTCTTCAGTGCATAAAATGCCTGAAAATATTATTTTATAAAATAAAACACTGGTTCTGATAATTTGGAACAGCTTGTAATTTGTTTGATTTAATTCAAGTTGTAATAAAAGAAATTTTGTTTAAATAACTGTTTTCGTTTCGTCGTTTTCCGCATTTATTAGTATCTAATATGTATATGTATCAAAATAAGGGTGGAGTGATAATCGGTAATGTTGTTTGCAGAGGTGATGGAGACAGCTATTCGCGTGCAGGTTTCGGGGCTGGAGGGCTTCGTGCCCGGCAGCGCGACGCTGGCGCAGCTGGCCGCCGCCTGCCCGCACAACTTCGGACCGCACCTCACGCTTACGTTACATTTCAACACCAATTCTGGTTACTATTTTATTATTCATGTCCTTGGTTGATTTATATTGACCGTCCTGCGCTAATTACATCATTAAAAAATCTATTTCTCCATCAGTTCGTTTAAGTCTACTGATGAACATGGGTCTATTCAGTCGTGGGATAAATGCTATCCACAACTAGTCTCAGTTGAATTGACAATCAATCGCTGTTATGTATCGGAAGTCATAAGGTCTTTCTGGCCGTTTTCAGTCACTTTTGACGACACCCATGGGACGAAATGGGGTGATTGATACTTTTAAATTACGTCTCTTTAATGGGAGAGGCCCATGTCAAACAGTGGACTATAGTCTGATTAAGAAGGAAACAGAGCAAATACACTATATGAAGTTATTTATTTTTCGCAAGATAGCATTTGAATTTTGCAATCATATTAATGTATTTTATTTGTCATATCTTTTATTTTTTTAGTTTTTGAATCGATTTGTACATTTCATTAAAAGTTTAATAATTGTCGACTTTATTCGATTGCGTGAGGTTAGTGTAAAATCAATCTCATTTTGATGGGATTATATGAAGAAGCGTGGACAGGTCCGATGTGGGAGGGCGGCGGCAGTGGCAGCACGGACGACGGCGGTGGGAGCAGCAGCAGCAGCAGCGGCGGCGGCGACGCGGAGTGCGGCGTGCTGCGCTGGTTCGGCGCGTGCGGTGGGCTGGCGCTGGTGGCTGAGCGCCTGCCGCGGCCGCACGCGTCCGCCGCGCCGCTCCCCGCGCCCGTCTCGCACGCACACGACCTCGACTGGGTCAAGCTCGACGACCCCTACGAGGTAACAGACACATTCAACTACTACGTACTTGACTACCTCGTCACTCTAGTGGTCGCAAACGCGATTGCTGCTGATGTTAAGGTCCCGAGGTCGAGTCCCGGGTCGGGCATAATTAGTTATTGAATTTTTCGAGCAGCTCGAAGTTAGTCCGTTGTGTTTCACCCCCGTGTCTCTGAAAGCACTTTAAGTCGTTGGTTCGCGCTTGAATTCTCTCCAGTCGTGATTCGGTCGTTAGTTAAATTATCGTCCTATCAAACATTGAGAATGAGGGAATAGAAATTGCTTGCGCATGCACGTGGGATTTATAATCATGTCCTGCGCAGGTGGATAATCTCCGTTGATAATGGCCGCAGTTACCAAAATTCGATCTTAAGAACACTACGTATTTGAACAGACACTACAAGTCTCGGTGTCTTTTCTAGTATGTAATACATATCACTTCAATATTGTGATCACTCTTTTTCATTGTCACCTATATTTAGACACTTCAATCGAAGTCTAAACTTGCTTTACATAAAACTGAGAGCTCATTTTTGGGTAGATATAATAAGACTTATATTTATAAGTATTACTGATTTGAATTTGATTAATTTTTTTTTATTTCACAAGCTTTTCACTCCAATCTAAAAAAATTATGACTAAAGTAGAGTACAAACAAACATTATTACATCCTCTTAATTTCCGATCGAAGGTAATATAATATACGTCTATAATAGGCAAAAGACTTTTTTTATTATTACATTTTTTGTACGTTGTTGCCGTGGAAGGAAAATGGGAGATCTCCCGCCGGGCAAGGTGTTTTGCCCGGGGAGCGGCCGACACTCCGAGTGATAGTTCGGAGAAGTTCTATATATACTGTCTATGATTCGGAATGTTGATAGCGTGATTTAAGCTTCGGTGTATTTCGCTTGTGGCGCGACGACAGCGCCGCTACATACGTGATATAGCCACGTTACAGCTATATTAGTCGTAGCACAAATGGGTCGAACCCACTGAGGTAGGGCTACGCTCTCACAGAATACTAGCGTAAAATAGCAGGTCAATATTACTGTGTTTCGTATAGTATGTGTAGAGAACCGGAGACCCTTTTTACTGGAAACGAGGCATTCCATCTTAGTCGTCAGGGATGACAACGCATCTGCATTTTGATTCTTAATGGATAAATGTAGATATCTATGGCTCATAGCACCCACTTACCATTAGGTGGCCTGTGTCCTGTGTGCTCGTTCGTCACTCATATTCTATAAAAAAACGTATTTGAGTTATTTTAGAATCTTAATATAACACAATAAAATCGATTGAAAATTTTTAAAACATTTTTTTTACTGTCAACACTGACGATTGTCTAAGATCTAAGGTCAAATTTAAATTATGTACGTAATGTTAGTTTTTAATGTCGATAGGGTGCTAGTGATGTGAAGAGTGTGCGTTCGATATTCCCGTTGAGTTGTGACAGTGAAGTTGGCGTTGACCGCAGGAGGTGATGGAGGCGAGCGCGTCGAGTGGGGGCGCGGGAGGGGGGACGAGCGCAGGTGCCGAAGCGTGCGGTGGGGGTGTGCCGGCACACGCGCTGCTAGCGCTGGGCGCGCTGCTTCGTCTGCCGGGCTACGCGGCCGCGCTGCTGCGTGAAGGCACGCGCGCCGTGCACCTGCTACGCCTGCTGCTTGGCGTCGCGCACGACGAGGACGGACGTCAGTACCCCACTGCCCACTGGCCTGCCTTCACACTACATCTTTACAACTGTACCTCGTTTAGGCGACATTTGAGCCGTCCCGATAGGTGCCCTTGTTGGACGAATGTCCGAGAAATCATTGAACAATCCATTGGAGGCATTTCACAAATTTTAGTTATTATTCAGTAATAACTATTTGTAGACCATACAAATACATGAACCGAACTCGCGACCCAATAACACCTCAATCAAACGCTTATTATCATTATCATCGTAATATCCTATCAAAAGTTAATTACCGAAAATTAATTTTAATCCTTTATCTGACAAATAGTTGTTGTTATGGTACTGACGTAAGAGAATCCGCCACTTTCGTTCATTCTATGAAAGCTACAATGAAAACTGTCAAAATAATTATGGCCTCTGATAAATGGCGGTGTAATCATTTCATTTAAAATATCTGGTAAAACACTCAGAATTGCGATGGGACAGTACAGTAAAAGGTGTGAGATTTATAACACTACGATCGTAAATCTGCTTGCCAGGCGTCACGATTAAGTCAAATCCTAATATGTAGTCGTGGACTTTTGTGGGCTGATAAAAGGGATGAAGCGTGGTATTTATAAGTTATAATTATAATCATCAATATCCTATCAAGAGTCCACTGTTAAACATATTATACTTCTCTCATAGATAGTAATAAATGCGTCTGTTCACCTCCGGTTCCGTTTCCTTCTGACACCTCGTACGACATCTACGAAATAATATGAGATTAATATATTCCCTTAGAGTGTTTTTAGTATAGAGTACTAACCGCGAATTTAAAAGTCGAGGCAGGACTCCAATCTTACCTTAAGTAGTTACCGAGAGTGATTTTAATATGTACCTTCATTTTTTCATTTGTCATCATCATCATCGTTACAGCCCTTCACAAGTCTAATGCTGAACATAGGCTTCCAGCAAGGATCGCCATAAAGTCCTGACCCAACTGCATTCATAGACTTCCTGCATGTCTTACCAGATCGTCACTCCATCTAGTGGGGACCGTTCTACAGTTCGCCAAAACGTTACGAGGCTGCTACTCGAGACTCTTTCTTCCCCATCAATTGCCCATTGCCACTTCAGCGTACTAATTCGATTGTTTCTCATTGATCGCGCAGTAATTAGTGAATGTGTCTGCAGGCAGTATACCGGTGTGCGGTGGTGGAGTTGGAGGCGAGGGTGGTGAGGGCACGTGGTCGCTGGGAACGCTGCCGTTCCGTGTGCTGGCGCGGTTGCTGGACGCGGCGCCGACAGGCGACGGCGAGGGCCGCGCGCTGCGGGCCACGCTGCTGCGCCTGGGCCTCGTGCGCCTGCTGCTGGCCTGCCTCGCCGTCTTCACGCACCATCGCCCCGCAGTGGCGCCGTCTGATGTGAGTGCCGCACCACGACACGCACACCGAACACCACACCACACACCAAATGATAATACCATCCAAAATTCGGTCACGGTGGCCAGTCTCAATATAGACGTAATAAACTGTTAGTTTGGCCATCGGTGCTAGACCAGATATAGTGCATGCGAAAACACAGTTGCACTCTCTATTTCCTCTCGCATAAAAACGACATATACCATGTACAATACAATGTGTACTACACAATACAACACTATGTATACAACATTTACCACATAATATACAGGTTGTAGCGTAATGAATGGATAACATGGTACCTGCGGGTAGAGGACGTTGTGGCGTTTCAGAAAAATACGTTTTATATTTCGTAAAAGCCCCTCGGTTTTCGAGATAATTTGACACTATATACATTCGATAATTCGGTACAAATATTTGTGTGACAATATATTGTTCCAAGCCATAATTGATACCCCTAGCGCCATCTAGTGTCGGGGATCAGAGCGAGGAGAGCTTTCTAGAAAATGCCATGCCTGAACTTTCCACCAACAGCGCCATCTAGTATCGAATAGAAGAATTAAGCTTTCTAGAAAAGTTCACACTCGAATTTTCTACATCTAGTCGTTCGGGACCGGTATTTGCTGGAACGTTCTAGATGTTTCGGTGGAAAAGGTTTATATCAAGCCGTTCAGGCCGCGACCGGGGTAGTATTGAATTGGCGATACGAGTGAAATAAAGTGTTAAGTGTGATTAAGGCTTATATTCACGCTAATGGCCTTGTGCATTTGGGCGGAGCTAACGACCCCTCTCCGCGCCACTCCGCTATCCGCATGCGACAGAAAAGGTGCGCCGCGGCCCGCGCCTTGCCGCCGCTTGCGTTGCCGCGCTTTGTCTCGTCACAGAGTGGCGAAATCACAGAAGGTCAAATCATCGTGAAAGTTAAATTAATTTTTATGTGTAGAGCATTTATAGTGGTCCAATTATGTTTTTATTTATTATCTATTGACATGGATGTAGAGGATTTTCGGGCTATAGTTACGAATAAAATTGTTAAACGCTTTCGAGGCCGCGGGTGGAAACTATACCTTTAGTATAAATCAGCCTGGCTTGAAACATGATGTATCTTTTTAATTATATTTTATATAAATAGAAATGAATGGCTAAATGTGTTGCTAAGCGAAAAAGTCAAGAGTGGCTGGACCAACTTGGTTAATATATTTTTATCAAATATTCTTTAAAGTCTGAGGAAGGTTTCTATGTAGGGTAGGTAGTGTAGATAGGTAGGTAGGTAAAGTAGGTAGCTAAGTAGGTAGAATTAGCACAAGTGCATGTCATATTATATGTTGTATTTTTTATAAACAAATAGAATATAACTAAAATTCACTGAAATTTAAGTTTCTTTCACCAAGTATTTTTATTCTTTTGGTTGGTTGAACTTCTTCATCCTCACTTATTTCTTCGTGTGCACATATATTTACATTCGGAAATTTCGATAGTCCGACAAAATCTTCTTTTTTTTCTTCTTCGTTCTCGTTGACTTCATTTTTCTCTTCAACCTCTTTTTGTTTCCTTGGTTCTATTTCCTTCTCTTTGTCGTTTTCTTTTTTCTCTTGTACAGCGTCTTCTTGTAATTCATTGTCTTTTTTATTTTGATTTAAATCATTTTGTTTTCTTTTTTTGGGTAGTTTATTTTTATTTGCGCTTTCTTCCACAGATTTTTTCTATATAAATAGGGTCTCTAATTTTCATTTTTCTCGTATGTCTTGGATCAATGAGTTCTGGTAATATGCAATCCAAATAAAACCTAGTTAATTTATTTTCCATTACGTCTTTCAAGAACTTGTCATCTTTTTCTATTATATCAATTTTCATGGGAATATTTTCACCCAGCCATAGTCCAAAAAGGCATCTTATTCTTTTGGTTATGTGAAGCTGACCCTGAATCTGGTAATACCAATTATGATTAGTGTTAATAATAATCGTACCAGTTTTATCGGTTTTATAAAAGGGTTTTTTTTGTAACTGCTTCGGTAAAACTTAGTTGGTGAGCTGCAACAGGGCATTTAATTTCTACCACCATGTTTTCCTCGACACATATACCGTCAGGAGTAGCGCCTAGATATGGCAATTCGTCGTCAATAAATAAACCGTTGTATAACCAATCCAGTGTCTTTTGAAATTTGCTCAAGAGCTATTTTTTCATTTTCAGTCCCATGTTTTATTGATTTGACGTGACTAATGCTATCTTTATATAGTAAATCTTTTACTAGGTTACTACAACTGATATTTGAACGCCTCTTTATAATTCGGCCGAAGTTAGAGGCTGTTAACAGTTTCCTTCTCAATTCTAGCCATTCACTGCATAAACTCTGCAAAATAGTATCTTTTTCAATTTTTTCTCTTTTTTCTTTGCTTTTCTTTAAATTATTGATGAAAGTAATTTTTTCTGTCTCCATTATTTCTGGAACTATATCCTCTCTAGCACAATTTTCACCATAATTTATATCTTCCCCTTTGCTAAATAATAATCTATTTCTTTTTCTCACGCCTTTTGTTTTTAAGTATTTTTTTCAGTAACCTTCTTTGCTCAAGCATCTTCACTTTTCTTTTAGGACTTTTTCCGGTGGCATATTTATAAGTCGTTGATAATAATGCACGAGTGTTATAGGATATTGCGGCACCTTTGCATTTGTTTTCATATCCACCTTTCAGGCTATAAAATATACGTTTTCCGCCAACTACTTTAGCGATTATGCTATTGTAACTTTCAGCTTTATTACTTTCCACATTATGTATGAGACTGGGTGCGTGAGATGCAACGTTTGACATAATTTGGCAAATTTTGCTCCAAAGAGTGCTTGTCCTAAATTCATTATCGCTAGTGTCTTCCGTATTAGGTTTGTTGCAGAAATATTGTTTGCAAGCACTATGGTCACCAAAGGCATGTATATGAGTCCGTAATATATCGTTATGAAGAAGTTCAACGTGTGCTCGTTTCTCGGATTCTAAATCGGATGTTTGCTTTTCAATTGCCTTTTTTTATTGAAAATCTGATTGCCTTTATTTTTTGGTCTGTAATATTTTTTCTATAACGCAGAGAGAGAGAGAGGTACTTGGTGTCAGATTTCAATTGTGATAGCTTATTACATAAATTTCACATTATGTGATTTTTTGCACTCGATGTTTTGTACTGTTGTATTGCAGTATGGACGAGTTTCAATGATTTTGGAATATGTGGCGTAATCTCCATCACTTATCATTATTCTATAAATCAGCCCGTGCATGTCAATGGAACATTTAATATGAGTCTGTAATATATCGTTATGAAGAAGTTCAACGTGTGCTCGTTTCTCGGATTCTAAATCGGATGTTTGCTTTTCAATTGCCTTTTTTATTGAAAATCTGATTGCCTTTATTTTTTGGTCTGTAATATTTTTTCTATAACGCAGAGAGAGAGAGGTACTTGGTGTCAGATTTCAATTGTGATAGCTTATTACATAAATTTCGCATTATGTGATTTTTGCACTCGATGTTTTGTACTGTTGTATTGCAGTATGGACGAGTTTCAATGATTTTGGAAAATGTGGCGTAATCTTCATCACTTATCATTATTCCATAAATCAGCCCGTGCATGTCAATGGAACATTTAAATCCTTCAACAAGTATAGATGACATTCCTGTTGTAGGACCTGTATAATTTTTAAAACATTTATGTTCACGAGGCAACACTTTTTTATACTCTGCCTGTGCGCAAATACAACAGTACTTATTTTTAATACCGATGAACAGAATCTTCCCAGTTTTTTTTCCAATAATGACTGCTGCTCCTGATAACGCAGAGTAATTTTTTCTATAGCTGCGTTTACTCCAACAACCGTCGACAATTACGTCAATAATAGGAACACCATTTTCATATATACGACCTTGCAGTAAGGCAAACTCTCGTTCTTCTTTCGCGGCATCGGTCATTGTTTTTAGTGAAATTCCTTCCCACATATTCGATATGTTTTCATTGCATTTTTGGTACTTGTTGAAAGATATTGAAGGTAAATCTAAAGAGGCAGATAGCTCTTGGAGTTGTGAATGACCACAACCAATTGCCACTGTCCCTAAAACTGCACAATTGTTGATGTTCATTTCACTACCTTCATCGCTGGAGATAAAAAATTTCATGTTGCATAATTTGCATTGAAGCGTAAAAGTTGATTGATAACCGGTTTGTTTTTCAGAAACAATTTCCACGTTACCGAGACCGCAGTTGAAAGGTCCATGCGAAGATACCTCTTGTAATTTTGAATAAAATGTTTTTAAATTGAGAATTCTTCGACCTTCAAGTTGATATGTTTTCTCAGAAGATTCGGCCGTGTCTATCTAAAAAGTATATTTAAGCTAAAATTAAATTATTCAAGATGTTTAAGTGCATTGTAAGATCAAATCGATAGTACATACTTCACAAGGAGCTGAATAATCTTCAAGTTCTTCAACAGACCTTACAACATGCTTGTGAGTCAACATGTCAATCAGTGGAGAACGTAGTTTTTGAGTGCCCAAATCATCTTGTGCCTAAAATTAAAGCACTTATACATATAGTTACAATAAAAATAAAAATGAAATATGTATATGTAGTTATTACATATTATTACTTACATTCACCTCCAAATCCATAGAATCTCCTTCAACTTCCCTGATAGAGCTAATTGATTCACTACATAAGGGTAGTGATTTTTTTATTTGAATTACCTCACCAAAACATTCCTAAAAAAATATTTATATGATTAGATAAATAAAATTGCATGTCAAGTTTATTTCTTTGTATAATATATAATGAATAAATAAACTATATAATGAATAAATAAAAAAGTTAAATTAAAACAAAACATAATATATTTGTTATTGAAAATAATTAAGCCGGTAATCGATAAATTAACAAATTACTAGCAAGTACCTAACCTATAATCATAATTAATATCTACTTCGGGAGCATTTTCAGTTTTGCCAAAGTTTTCGTCGGTAGTTGTAGCTAAACAAGACCTCTAAAAAAAATTAACTTGTCATAAATAATCACAACGAATCAGAATAAATTAATAAATAAATATACTTCACGTAAGTACCGAAAAGAAAAATTTATAATAAGTATTGACTGAAAGTATTGCGTGAATATGGTCCTTCTGTGATCATTCACTACTCTATGGCACAGAAGTATTATACTTACGACGACTTTGTTTGAATAAAGTTATTTTATAAACAGCACCTGTCTAATATATGAAATATGTAGATAAAATTTACTTTGATAAATGTATACCCTTTTGTTAGTAATATTTTTTTAGACCTCTCTTCAATCGTTTCTGCTTATTCCCCATGATTTACAAACTAAACTTAAACACTAATAAAACTGTACAATGGCAGTAATATTTTACGATTTTATTTCGTAGTGCTGAGCTCTCGCAACGCGGCGTACGTCCACCTAGCAACACGACGCGCCCCGCACTGAATTCGTGGACGAGTGCGGGGGTGATATAGACGCAGTATTTAACCGGGACGCATTTTTAATTTATTATCATAAAAATAATACATATTTCTAAAAAGTAACCAAACCAAATTATTTTATTTTGTATTCCAAAGCAGCAGATATTTTTTTTATATTCCTTTGATAAAAAATGAAGGAGTAAAGTGGTTTCATCTCAACGATTTGAAAGTGATTTGGGTATTTTTTTATTTATTATGTGACACCGATAGAAAAATTATGGCTAAACCAAATTACGTATCATAATCATGTAGATTAGTAGCTATTTTTTTCAGATGTAATTTCTCTGTAAGTGCCGACGAAAAGTTGGTTCATCTGCACGCTATTTTCAAGCTTTTTTCGAGAGAGCAACCTTATTAGTGTGATTTAAGTTTTAATTGGTGTTCAGTAATTAAAGTGTCAATTTTGGTAATTCAGTCGGCAGTTTTTGTTGTCAGGAACCCTATGCTCGTAACAATATTATGTTTATAAATTACCTCCACGATACAAAAGGAAATCCTAGCGAGGATGTAAAGTTCTTTAAAAAAAACAAATACTTGATCCGTGCAGGATTCGGAACCGCGATTCTCAGCGCCGCTGAATGCTAAGCGAATGCGTCACGAAACCTTTAAAGTCATCATTTCAGTCTTTGAGGTTCTTTGCTGGACATAGGCTTACGTCATAGATTTCCATGTAGAATTTTTACCATAGTTGACAGGTGGGTTACCAACAGCATTTTTCTTAATTATTTTGAGTTATTATGAGAATGATGTCACCACTACCCATATCCTCTTGTATAGACTTCTGCTCACTGGATCGAATTGGGTAACGGATTCTATTACACCGCCACCACATCAACATATCTATGTGATGTCGGTACATACTTACTACATGTTGAATTTATTTTCCGCGAACAGAACAGTCAAGCGGCGAACGGAGCGTCGGGCAAGCCGGAGGAGAAGAGCCAATTATACTGGGCTAAAGGCACGGGCTTCGGAACCGGTTCCACGCAGCAGTCGTGGAATGTAGAACAGGCGCTCGTGCGACAGCGCGTCGAGGAGGAGCACGTTACCGTGCTGCTGAAGGTTCGACTCGATTACCTTGTTAACGGTAGTTTGCCAGATTGTTAGGAATATGTACGTATCGGTTTCGATCCGCCTGGGCATTCTCAACAAAGAACGGCCATCTTTGCAGTACAGGATTTATAGTGTACGGGTGTGTGCGTAAGCACAGGTGTTCTCTCGAATCCCTCAATCTTCATAGTTCGATAGGGCGGCAACCTGACATAATATAGGAGAGAGAACGGGCGCAGCAATAATGGCTTTATATGCTTCCTGAGGCACAGGGGTATAAGAAATAATGTGCAATGAGAATCGAGCCAATATCAGTTTTCGATCAAATCAGCATGAATATAAATAATCAAAATCAGATTCAGAATTTAAACTCGAGACCACATGATCATGAATACACGCATTGAAACGCATTGCTTTTTATTTAACTAGATTCTTCTTTTTTTAGTAAAAGTTCAAAAACGGATAATTCTTCTACGTTATGAAGGGATGCACGTGTGCACTTTGTTATTTGCCTGATGAATTCTGTGAGTGGTTGTTAGCCGTCTGTAGGGAGATATGAAATGTTGCCTGTGTGCCTGCCGTGTTTGTTATGCTACGTGGTGGTAGTTGTGAATCGAAGTTAAGGCGCGGTGTGGGCGTGGGTGCGCAGGTGCTGGCCGCGTACATGCAACCGGGCGAGCGCTGGCCGCCCGAGGAGGGTGCGCAGCCGGCGCCCGAGGCGGACGAGCGCGAGCACCAGCTGCCACCCGGCTTCGTGGACCTCGTGGCCGCCTCCTCGCTCGTGCCCGCCATCTGCTCCTACCTGCGCAACGACTCCGGTACGTTGTTGCCGCACGCATACGCACACGCTCATACGCGCGCACGTACGCGCATATACATATACATACATATACAATAATAAGGTTATCATTTTTAAAAATAAACTTTTTTCATATGTAGTACTATATTTAACGAAAGTATTTAAAGTTTGCCGTGTTGTAACAATAATAAAAATAAAATAAATAATAATAATAATAATAGTAATAAAAGTAAAAGGAATAAGAAAATACAACATATTAACCCGTAGATGCCATAAAAGACGAGACAGGAAAACTAGAACAGGAGACTGGCAGTAGCATCTTCTAAATAAAAACTACGATTGGCTAACTCATCGACCAAGTGACATCTTTGCTATGAAGCATGAAGGTTAGAGAACAGGAGAACGATCGCCGTAGAAAATAGTGTCCCAGAAATATGGACACCATCAGTGAGGCGCTGCGATCACTAAGTTCAGTCAATAAAAGTCATTTTCAGTCTATATTTACGATCAGATGTTCAACCACTTGCACATCCACGCATAATATTTGTCAAAAATTACAAAATTACGGAGCATGAAAATTTTCTACGAAAAAATGAAATGACAATTTGTACATTATTCAACTAACTTCACCTACTTGTACTCATAAACAGCAACAATTTTCAACGACAGACGGACTATGCTTTAGTACGTAGTGACCGTTCTCCTGTTCTCTAACTTTCATGCTATGAGGCAATCTATAGCTTCCTGTCTATGTTTTGTGACTTTTTATGGACTGTCATTTTAAAATTACGTTAACAATGAAATGTAAGAGTTTTATTCAAAAATCACATTATCTGAACTGAACAAATGACTTTTTATCAAATATAATTAAGCATTTATATAGCCATAGCACGTAATTTAAATATTGCGTATTTAACTTTTTCATTCATTTGTTTATTACCCGTGCGGTAAAGAATGGGATTGAAAATGACGTCACCTCTATTATCCTCTCGCTCTCACACGTAACCGCTCGTGACACTGAAAGTTGTTTGAAAATCAAAAACTCTACAAACTAGCAAGTTATTAGTTTTATGATATCTTTTTAAAATAGTGTCCATTTATATTAATACATCGCTGCATGTGATAGAACCACTGAGAGAAGCACTTTGCCCACTCGACCTTAGAGGTCTCTGCGCATTTTGAAACGCAGCCACTGCTTCCTCGGCGTCCATAAAACGTTTTCCTCGAAGTTTTTCTTTTATTTTCGGAAATAAATAAATATCGCAAGGGGCGAGGTCGGGGATATAAGACGGGCGACCCAGTAATTCCACGTCTGACATCGCCATGTAGTCGATTGTCTGCTTGGCGCTGTGCGACGAGGCGTTATCGTGGTGAAGGAGTATTCTATTGCGAGGTCGTTTCTCCCGAACTTTTTCCAAGACAAGTGGCAAACAATTGTTAGTGTACCACTCTGCAGTAACTGTTTTTCGATCATCTAAAACCACTGTTGCGCAGTGACCTGTCCTTCCGAAGAACGACGCCACCATCTTTTTCCAACGCTTCGACCTCTCTTCACTTTGGTTGGCAACTCCTCGGAAGGAAACACCCAGACAGCAGAATAACTCTTAGTTTCAGGAGTAAATCCAGTTTTCGTCACCCGTAAGTATGTCGAACACAGCATTTGAGATTTCTCGACAATAATCAACACGACGGAGTTTTTAGGCCTCTGTCAAATGATGAGATATCCACCGGGTACAAAGCTTCCTGACCGCTAAATGTTCATGGAGGATAATGTGCACTTGACTCATACCGATGCCTAAGCTTGTCCGAATCTGCTGATAAGTCACTCTTTTGTCAGTCTCTATAATACGCCGCACAACACTGCTATTATCATCAGTCGTCGCCGTACGTCTCTCACGCAGATCATCGGTGAGATAAGTGCGACCACGTTTAAACTCAATAAACCGGTTGTAAACAGTGGAAAGGCCAATCGAAGTCTATCATAACTTTCTTGTTGACTTATGAACCGATTTCATCGGTCACTGTGACGTAGGCGCGTGATCCGAAGCTTGTTGTCTTGCAACACTTGCTTAACATGCTGCAGCTCGGCGGCCAGATGTTTTCTGTCACAGATCCCTCGTGCTCTCTGAAACAAAGATTTACCCACGGTAGCTAACTGTGAAGGATGGTGGTGAGAATCACCATTTAAATATCGGTTGGTATGGGTCTGTGTATAGAAAAAATGTGTATAGAAAAAAGACTCTTGTAGAGCTCAGTAATTTTTAATGATATTTTATTAATATAAATGAATAGAATAATTTTTATTCAATATAGATTATTACATAATACTTATTGAAAGTCATTTTTTATTTATTTCTGGTTCGGAAAATACTTTTGTCCTGGGAAGAAGCAGCAAGAAACCCAGCAGGACTTTCTTCAAACATATTTCACTTATAATAATTTTGTTAGTACAAAAAAAAAAGTGCCGTGGTAGCTCAGATGGTTAACGCTCGCTGTAAATACAACAGAACGCGAGTAACCCGGGTTCGATCCCCGCCGGCACCAATGAAATTGTTAATTGCAATTTTAAGTGCTGATTTACCACGTGCTCGGCGGTGAAGGAAAACATCGTGAGGAAACTTGCATGTCTAAGGAATAAGAAAAAAAAATATTTCAAAGACATGTGAAGTTCGCCAGCACGCATTGGATTGGGGCTGCGCGGCGGACACTTCCTTGCTCTAAAACCCTCTCAGAAATGAGAGGAGGCTTGTGGCCAGCAATGGGACGTATATAGGCTGTAACTTTACTAGTACAATTAGGGTTATTTTCATTTATGTATTATTTGATATTATAATTAGCCTTTTTGTATAATTTCCCGTGCGATGGGCGAGCAAATAAATTTATTATTTATATTTATTGATACTGTCAAAGGTAAAAAGTTGGCCTGCTGAATGACTTACTATGGCACAGTGTGGTATTCCTCAAAGCATATTTCTAAGCGGAGCGATACACTGCAACGCCTACAAATATAGCTTGTGCGGCTTCTCTTGCACCATTCACACCATGCCAACTTATAGGGGCCCGATCAAGTACAATGATTTCCTTCCCTTCTCCATTCTTTCATTTTCCCTGTCCCGACCCCCTCTTTCACTTCCCCTGCCACCTCTCACTGCTCGATTTCCCTTCCCCTCTTTAACTCTTGCCCCCCTCCCTCTACTAGCTCTACCACCACATACTTGTTCATTACTACGAAAAAAGGAAATACACATACAAATACGAAAGGCAATACACATATAAATATCACCGTAGCATTTAATATGCAAAAATATACAAATATACAATTTTAATACAATATGCAAAAAAATTGTTTTCATTTTTTAAATTGAAATCATATTGTTAGTTCTTTTACAAAAATAAAAAAAATAAAAGAACTTCCCCAAAAATTTCGAAATAATAAAATAAACAAATGTCAAAAAAGCCCTACGCTATTTGTGCCAACCCTTTGCGGTGAAATTTACTTTGCTTTCTGGAAACGATTGTTTCCAAAGCAATATTTCGTGGCAACGTCAGTACTTGTCGCCAATATTAATGTATATATCAAGCACATCTTCAATATATTATATGATCATTTTACCTTTTATAATTTAAATTATGTGTAACTAGTAATTATTTTACAAATAGTTTCTCGTAGTTGTAAGTAATTACGATAAATTACCACTTTAAAATACGTTAACATACAAGGTCAACGACCCTTTCTATTTTTAATACATTTAACTTAGTTTATTATGAAAAATTTGAAAAATTGTAGACCAGATATTCTAAATTAATTTAGTACCTTAACCTTAGTAAAAACCAATAAATTTTAATACTTACGACATTTTTTCGTGGAGCACAACATAGTACACAATGACGGTGAGCACAAATAATCATAAAATGGCGACTTCAAACTTCACTTCATAATTGTTTTCAAAAATTCAAAAAAAATTGTTGTATGATGTTGTAAACTTGCGCCCAGATGTTAGATTAGATAATCTATTATACTATGGTTTACAAACGTTTTGAAAAGACTTTACGGTCATTAAAATAGTGTTAAGCGTCGTTAAAAAAATAATTTTGGTAACAATCGTTGCCAAGAGCAAAGTTCGATTTTTCGTATTGGAAACGATCGTTTCCAGAAGCAAGCGAACGGGTAAACAAATAACAAATTAATAAAATACATACACAAATATTGGCAAGGAGTTCCATTTTCAAAATTTGAACTTATTTTTTATTATATCGTTTACAAGTGGCCACTTCTAAAAACTTTCAGTGTCGCCTTCATATTGTTGATTTTGTTTGTTAATATTTTTGTATAAAATATTTACATGCCATTACGGAGACTTAAGTAACAATTTTTAAAATATACGTTTGTCTGTCTGTCCGAGCTAATTTTCGTAATTGTTGAAAACTGATTAATAAACCTCACGGACAAACATTAACACCAGAAGTAGGTGTAATCTAGACCAAATTTTATCCGAATATTTTAGCGATTTTATTAAAATGAAATATTGATAGTATAAAATAAATGGTCCTTTATGATTATTATGTTATGTCGTCAATTAGATCCCACCCAAAGGAAGCCAGAGCGAGTTCGCGAGTTATTAATGTTATTTTAAAATTGATTTTCGTATACAGTTATTTTAAAATATTTTCCCATTAATAGAAAGTTTTCAATTAACGGAATAATGTAACGTTATAACGATATACCGTTATTAGCGGATTTTCGCTATTTGGTACTCTGCATGTTGACGGTACGGGCTCGATGAGTCGCCATTTCTAATCCCATTCTTTATTCGTACGGACTGTATCTTTGACAATGTGAAAGTGACGTTGCGTATCATTGTGCAGTGCTGGACATGTCGCGGCACATCCCGCTGTACGTGTGCGTGCTGCGGTGCGCGCGTGCGCTGCACTCGCTGCGCTGCGGCCGCCTGGCACCCGCGCTGCGCCCGCTGCCGCGCCTTCTCGCCATGATGAGCCGCACCACCAACTCCTACGCCACCAAGCTCAGGTGTGCACCCCCTCCACACACCGCTCACACACGTGCTGCGCTGCTGTGCCTGTTCCCCATGATGAGCTGCACCACCAACTACTCCTACGCTACCAAGCTAAATGGTGGCACCCACACATCACTCACTTAGGTGTGCACCACACCCACATACCACTCACCACCCACGCTGCGCTGCGGTCGCCTGGCGCCCGCGACGCGCGCTCTGCTGCGCCTGCTCGCCATGATGAGCCGCACTAACAACTCCTACGCCACCACGCTCAGGTGCGCACCACACCCACACATCACTCACCACTCGCGCTACGGTGCGGCCGCCAAGCGCCCGCGCTGAGCGCGCTGCCGCGCCTGCTCGCCATGATGAGCCGCACCACCAACTCTTACGCCACCAAGCTCAGGTGTGCACCACACACTATTCACACACGCGCTGCGCTGCTGTGCCTGTTCCCCATGATGAGCTGCACTACCAAGCTAACTGGTGGCACTCACACATCACTCACTCAGGTGTGCACCACACCCACATACCACTCACCACCCACGCTGCGCTGCGGTCGCCTGGCGCCCGCGACGCGCACTCTGCTGCGCCTGCTCGCCATGATGAGCCGCACCAACAACTCCTACGCCACCAAGATAGGTGCGCACCACACCCAACACCACCACTCGCGCACCTGCGGCGCCGCCTGCTCGCCATGATGACCCACCACCAACTCTTACCCACCAAGCTCTCCACCACACCACATCACTCACCACTCGCGCTACGCTGCGGCCGCCAAGCGCCCGCGCTGAGCGCGCTGCCGCGCCTGCTCGCCATGATGAGCCGCACCACCAACTCCTACGCCACCAAGCTCAGGTGCGCACCACACCCACACACCACTTACCACTTGTACTACAGAAGAAAAGGATTACTTTAGTCACACATGCAAAACACAGTTACACAATTTTCTGTAAAAGTACATTTACTATCAATTTGTTTCTCTATCACCGTGTAGTGGCGTTGTCAACATATTCACTGCCTCGTATCGTCCCGTGGGTGCCGTCAGAGGGAGGCTGAAACAGGAGATGGGCAGCACCATCATCCTGATAACAACTCAAAATATAAAAAACTGCGATTGCCAAGCCAACAGCCAAGCGTGGCAACTTTGGAAAAATCCTCCCTATGAGGCAATCCATAAGGAAGTCATTATTCATTAGTGAACTTTTATAAACTATTATCTCCTCAAACTTAACAACACATCTAGATTTATAATTCCTAACAGAAGATGGATTTAGGTATGTATCGACAACATCATCCATTAAACCTCATCCAATCCACCCGATTGTATACGCTTTGTCACCCTAAGGTAGAATAAAAGTAATATTACAAAAACAAAACGACTAATATCTTACTTGTGAAATAAGAAGAGTAAGCAATTTATAGTAAATAAAAGATCCCCGCAAAACCATTACAAATATAGGCTGTAATGGATAATGGAATAATAAAATATTATGAAATCAATTGATAAAATTAAAAAAAAACTATAATATAATATCTTTCTTTCAGAATGAGTAAGAAAAACATTTTCGGAAAAATGACATATAGCCAAAGATTTAACACATCGAGTAATTCTGAGCTGTCCGAAGAAGATGAAGGTCTTGCGGCTCTTATTGCCGACATACAGGTATGTTAATTTTTTTTTAAATTTCGTTCCATATAATTAGAAACAAATGTATATTTAGAACACACTTAATTTATTATTTTTAGAATTTCTACTGACTGAGATTCTACGGCGATAACTTTCAGAGACATTCGGAAACTATCATTAATAGCTTTATAATTTAAGGCTAATAAGGAATGCTCGTGCTAATTAAAATATTAAAAACGTGCGACAGTAGCATGTTTTTAATATTTGTATTAGCGGTTGGGGTATGGACCGCAAAGTTAACAATTCGTGGATTTAAATCCGCCATTCGACTACTATTGTGAACCACTTCTAAAACAAGATTTTTTTGAATGGATAACGGGAATATTAGTAATGTTAATTGCGTTACAAGTGTTATCATTAAATTATACAAAAAGCTTTCTATGTACTAGAGCCATACTCCTATATGTTCAGCACTTAATATTGCAATGTAGCATGCCAGTGACCGCAATACCAAACTCACGCACACTAACAGTTGTAAATGTGCGTGACTTTAGTTGGCTAGTACAGTAAGTAAGGTTCTATCGGGGAAGGTCCACGCACTCCTAGAATACTAGCGTAAAATAGCGGTTGATTGTTGATGTGCTTCGTAGGGTGAGTGTATACAACTGGAGATCCTTTTTACTGGTAACTAGGCATTCTATCATAGTCCTCAGGGGTGGCAACACGTCTAAATTTTATTTTTAACCGAATACTAATGTAGATATCTCTGGGACACAGCGTCAACTTACTGTCAGATTATTTGTGTGCTTGTTTGTCATACTTATTCTAATAAAAAATAACAAAGACGAAAGGAATAAGTGTGGTGAGCGACACTGTTGCGGTAGGCAGCATGTGGCACGTAGTAGATGGCGTGTGATGTGTGAGCATGAAAAGTTGTGTGCAGGCGACGGCGGCGCTGATGTGCCGCGCCGAGGGCGAGGCGGAGGCGGCGGGCGCTCCGCGGCCGCTGGGTGGCGCCACACGCGAGGCGCGCTACATACACCTCATGCGCACCATGCAGTTCGGTCAGTGCACTCACTCACTCATTCACTCTATTCTCTCTTTCTGCCGCGAGGACGTCGAGGCGAACGCCGCGGGCACGCCGCGACCGCTGGGCGGAGCCACACGCGAGGCGTGCTACATACACCTCATACGCACCATGCAGTTCGGTCAGTGCACTCACTCATTCACTCTACTCTCTCTTTCTACCTCGCGGACGGCGAGGCGAAGGCGGCGGGCACGCCGCGGCCGCTGGGCGGCGCCACACGCGAGGCGCGCTACATACACCTCATGCGCACCATGCAGTTCGGTTAGTGACCTTACTCATTCACTCAACTCTCTCTTTCTGCCGCGCGGACGTCGAGGCGAACGCCACGGGCACGCCGCGGCCGCTGGGCGGCGCCACACGCGAGGCGTGCTACATACAGCTCATGCGCACCATGCAGTTCGGTCAGTGCACTCACTCATTCACTCTACTCTCTCTTTCTACCGCGCGGACGGTGAGGCGGAGGCGGCGAGCACGCCGCGGCAGCGCCACACGCGAGGCGTGCTACATACACCTCATGCGCACCATGCAGTTCGGTCAGTGCACTCACTCATTCACTCAACTCTCTCTTTCTACCGCGCGGACGGCGAGGCGGAGGCGGCGAGCACGCCGCGGCAGCGCCACACGCGAGGCGTGCTACATACACCTCATGCGCACCATGCAGTTCGGTCAGTGCACTCACTCATTCACTCAACTCTCTCTTTCTACCGCGCGGACGGCGAGGCGGAGGCGGCGAGCACGCCGCGGCCGCGCCACACGCGAGGCGTGCTACATACACCTCATGCGCACCATGCAGTTCGGTCAGTGCACTCACTCATTCAGTCAACTCTCTCTTTCTACCGCGCGGACGGCGAGGCGGAGGCGGCGGGCACGCCGCGGCCGCGCCACACACGAGGCGTGCTACATACACCTCATGCGCACCATGCAGTTCGGTCAGTGCACTCACTCATTCACTCAACTCTTTCTACCGCGCGGACGGCGAGGCGGAGGCGGCGGGCACGCCGCGGCAGCGCCACACGCGAGGCGTGCTACATACACCTCATGCGCACCATGCAGTTCGGTCAGTGCACTCACTCATTCACTCAACTCTTTCTACCGCGCGGACGGCGAGGCGGAGGCGGCGGGCACGCCGCGGCAGAGACACACGCGAGGCGTGCTACATACACCTCATGCGCACCATGCAGTTCGGTCAGTGCACTCACTCATTCACTCAACTCTCTCTTTCTACCGCGCGGACGGCGAGGCGGAGGCGGCGGGCACGCCGCGGCCGCGCCACACGCGAGGCGTGCTACATACACCTCATGCGCACCATGCAGTTCGGTCAGTGCACTCACTCATTCACTCTACTCTCTCTTTCTGCCGCGCCGAGGGCGAGGCGGAGGAGTCGGGACTACGCTTAATGACTTCAATAGGGTCTCCAAAATATAGTTCTTAAAATGAATATGAATAAAACAATAGTCATATGTAACGTCCATGTCACACCTATGCCGCTGGTTGTTGGGTACTAAGCTCGAAGTATCAGCATTAGGATTATCCTGCTCTGTAAGATTACCGTAGGGTTTATTAATTAAAATATGAATAAATTTACTATAAACACTGTATAACTGTATGGTATCTCATTCTATCGCAGGCTAAATCTTATAGATGAATATTATGTTTGTCGCTTTTTTTTTTCATTCGAATTTGTCAACGATTCTAAAGAAGTTTTTACTTCAAAACGGTGGCACGTGCTTATTGATATTTTTTATTTGTACAGAAACATTTGAAATGATAGCGGAATGTCCGGAGAAGGGATTCCGTTTCACGGTACCGTACCACTTCGAGGGCATGGTCCGTGCAGCCGGTGAGCGGGCGCACCCGGCGCGCATGAAGCGGCTGGCGCAGGAGGCTGCCACGCTGGCCACCAGCCTGCCGCTGTCCTACTCCTCGTCCGTGTTCGTGCGCACCGATACCGACCGGCTCGATGTCATGAAGGTGAGTGTACACACATGTACGTACACACATGCAGCGGCTGGCGCAGGAGGCCGCCACGCTGGCCATAAGCCTGCCGCTGTCCTCGGGTAAAAAGGCCGTATTCGCCGCGTTTAGCAGGCAGATTAACAAATGGTGATATTTGGTTAAGATTATAATCTATTGGAGACAAAAAGTCTTTCAGGCATGTCTTGCATAGACTTAAGTCTGTGATTGATGGGGTAGGGTAGAATGTGAAATTAAAGTAGAGGTTCCAATGTCGATTTGATTGTATAAAAAATTGTGTCGTGTGTTTACGTGTGCTAATGTTAAATAATAACTCGCATACACACCATCCGGGACTACGATATATAGTTTCGAAATATATAAATATGGAGAAATTTTCACTAGCGCCATCTATTTCAAAGCATTAGGCAACCAAAGAAAAAATGCGCGATCACAAATAATGCCGCTAAAAGAGCATAACTAATTTGTGTTCAGGTCCTAATAACGGGTCCATCGGACACGCCGTACGCAAACGGGTGCTTCATCCTGGACGTGTACTTCCCGGCTGAGTACCCGGCGGTGCCGATGCTCATCAACCTGGAGACCACGGGCCGCCACTCGGTGCGCTTCAACCCCAACCTGTACAACGACGGCAAAGTGTGCCTCTCCGTGCTCAACACGTGGCACGGCCGCCCAGAGGAGAAGTGGAACGCGCACACCTCTAGTTTCTTGCAGGTGAGCGTTTTAATGTGTTGAGTAAACAATAAAATAATAATATTGTGTAATATGTAAATTTGTGGCCATTTTAAGTAATATTGTTTTAGTATATTTGTTAGAATATAAAAGTATTCTTAGGTATCTAAATTAAACATTGTCTTTCTAATCAAAAAATTACTGATTTACTAGATTTTCTAATGATATGATGTAGTGCTTTATACATCCTCATCACAATGCCATTTCTGAACATAGCTTAAGTCATGTTATTTTCAATCGATTGGCACAAAGCACTGTCCAGAATCACCTGTAAGTATCGACTCCCCGCATATCTTGGTTAGTATTAGTTATCAGTATTGTTTATCAGTTTTATACGTGGTAGAGCCACGCTGCAGCTGTATAATAGTTCTGTAGGTGAAAGGTAAAAGACCTTAAGTCACAATGTATAAACTTTACAGTAGATCCTATTAATGACGACTAAAACATCATGGAAATATTAAAGATAGCTTTTATAAAAAAGTAGATATCGGATCGATGTGAAATAAAAACCTAGGAATAATTTATTTCTTTAACTACGACCTTTGATATATTTTTGACCCACTAAAGCCTCCTAAGGTTTTTTTTTTGGACTTAATGTTCTTTAACTTTGGTGAGTATTACAATAACTAAGTATTGTTATGTTTGTTAAGTCCCTAAAGGGTATCATTGATAAAATTGATTACAAAAGGGTAAAATAGTAATATTGTAGTACCTAACCCCTAAAATTGAATATTTTGCTAAAATATTTAGCTATGTCAATAAAAAAACAGTATTTTAACAACTTTATTTGTATTATATTATAAATCAATCACAATCAAAATCAAAAAAAATTATTCCGGTTCCGGTAGGTCACGCGCTGTACCATCATGAACCAGTTTTTTATAAAAGTCGTGAAAAATGGGCGGAACCCATTGCAAAGCTTTTTGCAAGTCTAGATATTTGTTAGTCGTGATCGGCTTACTATCTTGTCTTATGGGCTGCAGTGCGGGTAGGGTAAAATCGCCCAAAGATCTTCTTCGATTTCTTATCAAAGACACCTTTTCAAATTCATTTTGTTTAAAAGTAGTTTTGTAATACATTGTGCCATAGTCTTCTTTCTTGAATTGCATCCATACTATATCAGAGTAAGGCACTGACTGACCAATATCTCCTTTTTTGCGATGAACAAAGGGAGATGAGGTACCTTCTTGGAGAATAAGTAAATTTTTAAATGCTTCCCTTGGCATATCGATAACTTCTATCGGTGCTTTATCCGAAGAACAAGACCTAATCAATTGTTGCCAATCCCACGACGTCATTATAGAAAATTGCGGTTGTCTTTTTTTTCCTTTCTATAATAGAATGTATACCGTCCACCTCCATATGGGTATGACCTTTCATTAAGTATTTGTGGTTAATAACTTGCAAATTCGGTATATATTTTAGTAGCCACAAATAGCACATTATAATATGAACATTTTTATTTTGTGCGGCACAATTACCGGACCAAATTGTAACCTCTTTGGTAGATGTGTTTGAAACATTTTTTTCAAACCATTTGATTAAGCCCGATGATAATTCGTTCCCTCCACGGCCTGATACGGATTCGTCCCACATAATGCAGGTACTTTTGTTCGTGAAACTATCTAATATTGTGTAGTTAAAAGTCCACAACTTGCGAAGATAGAAACTAAGATTGTTCGTCAACAAAGGAGTTGGTAAACATTTTTGTAAGTCTACAGTAATTACTTTCTTACCAGCTGTAGTATTTATACATTCCAATTTATCAAAAGCTTTTAAATCATATCTAGCCTTTGCCTCTTTCAAGTGATCATCATATCTGCTTTTTAGTGCCTCTTTTTTCGGATCCCTCAGACCCACGCATTTGAATTACAAAACGATCGCAATCGTCACATGTGTCAGTTTCCGGTGGTTTAAATCCTAAATTAAAATGAGTATCAAAAATATTTCTGTATGTCCAAATTTTTGCAATCATTTTTTTATCAACATTCTCTATTGTGCATTCCTCTTCATATAATTTATACATTAATTTTAAATTTAAATGTGCACCTAAATATTCACGCCTTGTTTTTTCTCTGCTGTAGTGACTTTCATATTTAGGGAATGATTCTATGTGTTTTTTAATCATTTCTATTACTTCAGTCTTTGTTTTGTTTGGAGGCTCCTTTTTTCCTCTTTTGTCTTCTTCTATAATTCCATAGCTAGATTTTTTAATTGTATTTCGAACCACCGTTTCGGATATACCCAGAGTTCCTAAGAAAAATGTCTTACAAACACCGATTTCGTTTTGATCAACCAGAAATCTATACTCTAAAGTATGATTTCTTTGTTTTTTAGAGTCTTCTTTGCGTATTCTTCGTCTTTCTATAGCTCTTTTCCGAACACATGTCAAAATAAATTGTCGTTTCATGTCCCACGTCTTTCCTTCATTCCAATATTTTTCAAATATATGTCTTCGTTGTTTATCGTTGATTTTGTTACTGCATCCTTTTCTGCAAGAACAAGAGGTCTCGATAGTCTTAGCAGAAACTATGTTTCCTTTTTGTGTTTCATGTAATTTGCCCGATATTGCCTTTTTACGTCTTAGATTACACTTCCATGTTTCTGGTCTTTTTAACCGTTTTCTGGTTTTTATTTTTTCAACAAATACTTCAGAACCTATTTCTGTATCTATTTCTAAACTTTCGTTTATATAGGAGGTCTTGCATTATGTCTGTTTTTCGAAGGAATAGAATCGCTTGAGTCACTTGTGTTTGGAATATAATCATCATCATCTGTCGATAAAATCTCACTCAAAGTATCACTTTTTTCGCCTGTTCTATTGGTGTTATCATCAGATTGTGATGACTGTGTAGGAGGTAATACAGAGCGAGATAGTATCTCATTCATCGGTTCGAATATTCTGCTTTGCCCTTCAGCTACTGTTACATCAGGCCATTTGGAACATCCTGGTTGATTCTCTTTTATTATATTGTCACCATCTAAAAAAAAATTATGTGTAAATAATTTATTTAGATACAACGCCATTCATCATACTTATTACAAAATGATGATAAAGTATGTCGCAATATACGTAGAAAGCTGGCACCCGGGGCAGAACTGACAGATATAGTTTACTAGTTGCGCCCTGCGGTTTCTCCTGCGTATGTCCCGATTCTATGACAATATCACGATAAAAAGTAAACTATGCATTCATACAGGTCTCCATATACATATCAAGTTTCATCTCAATCAGTTTATGACAAGATTTTGACATACATTTTTGTTTCATTAACTATCATTCAACTGACATTCGACGAGAATATAAGCATAAGAAACGGGAGTATAAATGTTGCCTTTACGTGCGCCATATATTAAATATATTTTTCAAATAAAATAAAATACAATTTATTTTTGCTGACAGTTTGGGTTATCGCAAGACAACAACAACAACATTACAGTATTCATTAAAATTGCTTTGATAGTAGTTAGGCCTATTAACTTAAGTATGATATTATTATTAAAGTAAGGTGTTTGCAAAATGTCGTTACAAGGTTGAAAAAGTAGCATATATTGGCAGAAAAACTCTTTAAATTACATACCTGATAATTTTATCATATTGACAAGTTTCCTTCCTCGTCCGGTAAACATTTTGTTTCATTTATATGAACGAAAACAACAAATTACACGTAGTTTAAAATCAAACGCAAATCTTCTCTGCCTTCGACACGATTGCATTGCCCGTTGTGGCCAGTGGCAACGCAAGAGTAGCGGGCGGGGGGTAAACATAAATAAGACGTGCGCCAATGCGCTAGTTAGTGCAAAAGAATCGTAAGTCCCACATAATGTCATTTAACACTGAAATGTCGTCTATAAATGAACGCTAAAAGATATTAAAGAACTTTACGACTGTTTACTTTTTATGTACTCAGGGACTTAATATCCAGTTACATTTGCTAATTTAAAATAATACGGCGTTAGGACTTAATGTCTTTTACTATTGTATAAATTCGAGTTTTTCGAATCGGAATCTGTAAAAACATGAAAACAGCCAAAAATGGACTTAAGGTTCTTTAACTTTCACCTACAGAGTTGTAGCACGAATGACTCGATTCGACCGGGGAGAGACCACGTTCTCACAGAATACCAGTGCAAAATAGCAGCTCCATGCTGCTGTTTCCTATGGTGAGTGTAGAGAACCGGATACCCTTTTTACTGGAAACGAGGCATTCCATCTTAGTTCCAGGGGTGACAACGCATCTGCGTTTTGATTCTTAATCGTGAAAAAATGTAGATGTCTATGGGCTACAGCATCCACTTGCCATCGTGTGGACTGTGTGCTCGTTTTTTACACTTATTATAAAAAATCACTATTAAATATCTGCGGGATATTCTTATATTATGTTCATTAAAATTGAGTTAGTAATTTAAGTTACGCAGTCTCTCCTAATGGTGCTCCGTTTTGTTCGTGTCATATTAACACACGAAGCAAGTGTGTTTTGGATAAGTACACAAGTATAGAACAAAAGTGTTGTGCGTGCAGGTGCTGGTGTCGATCCAGTCCCTGATCCTGGTGCCGGAGCCGTACTTCAACGAACCGGGCTACGAGCGCAGTCGCGGCACGCGCGTGGGCAGCAGCGCCTCTCTGGAGTACAACTCCAATATCTACCAGGCCTGCGTGCGCTGGGCCATGCTGGACCACCTGCGCAACCCCGAGCCCTGCTTCAAGGAGGTACTATGCTGTGTTGTGCTGTGCTGTGCTTACTCTCGGTTGGCAGAGCGAAAACACGTGTACCCAGTAGCCAAGCCTCCATAGAAGCCGAGAAGCCAGGCTTGCCCTATCAAACTGCTCAATCAATAATATCAAATAATAAAATAACTCAAACTGTTTCAAACTATTTAAAATTTTCCGCGCGCTCCTCTATTTTACACAGGTCATGATCTCGTAGCCTTATTATGTAACATCAACACTTGGCAGATTGCTTATTGCTTTCAATTCGTAATACACTGGTTCGTGTTCTCTCTGTCTCAAAGCGAACACGCAATGGACTGTCAAAATTAATGAAAGCAAAGCAATATGGATGGATCCCGATCGCGGTTAAACTGCGCGATACTTTTGTCATAAAAAAGGAGTTTAGTTGAGCTAGTCAAATATAACTGATTATAAGCAATTAGTTTGGAGCAATAAGCCCTGTCTTTCAATTACTCATTTAGTGAAAATAGGATAATAGTGTTCATTGTGATTAATTGAAGTATGTTAAATAAAGTGCTAATCGGCAAGAAAAAGTAAAATCTTTAAACTTTGTTGAGAAAAAATAGCTCATATCTTCGTCGAAACCAACGCCTGATCTGTGTATTTCTCAGACGAGTAAAACCCACAAACGGCAATTTAATAGATCTGTTTACAAAACTCATTAGACTGTTGGCTGCTCACATACCAATAAGTTGTACTGTTGGTGCTGCATATTCTTTTCCAACGACAAAACAGCTTGGAATACTACTGGATATGATAATTTAAATAACTTATCTGGAGCCATTAAAAGGCACATGAATGCTCAAAAACACATAAATGCGATAATTTCGTTTAGTACTTTTGGAAAAAATCGGATTGAAACATGTTTTCCGTGCCAGTTATCCGAAATTACAAAATACAACATGCGTGTTGATCACAACAATAGTGTTTTTCAAAGATTAGTCGATAATGTTTGCCATTTAGCACAACAAGAACTTCCTTTAATAGGTCACTATGAGTCGAAAACTTCATTAAATAGAGGCAATTTTTTAGAACTTGTGTCGCTTCTTTCGAAGTACGATCTCGTGTTAGAAAAGCATATGCAGCATCAACAAAGCGACAAACGGCTGTTATTTATCTAGTACAATCCAAAATGACATTATTCATTTGGTCGCTGATGTAATGAGTTTTCATTGGGGGGGGGAGTACGAAGTAAATTTGTCAAATTTCTTTTTAATTATTATTGAAGAAACTCCCGATACTAGTCACAGAGTTGACACTTTGTGACCTTGGGTCTGATTCTTCGATATTATTAGGGAAACTACATTCATGACCGTTTTTTAGGTATGTAGATGTGTCTGAAAGTCGCAAAGCAGACACACTTTGTAATATATTCATAATTGGGTAGCCTCTTATGTTAACGAGTTTATTACTTAGCTTTTAGCACTAATATTGTATTACACTATAAACTTAGGTGAAAAAAAAAACGTTTTTATTATAGTTGTTTGTATAAACCATGTCATTATTCCCATAAAATACAAGAATTAGGTAAAATATGAAACTTTTGTCAGGGCAGTATTAGATAGCCGCACTGGCGTTTACTGTTGAAGGGATAACGTATAATTTGTTCTAAAATATTTTGCAACTAACAATTAAAAAAAAAACTAAAATATCTTTTAACATTGTTTCAAAGTAATTAACTTTGACGGCTTAATAAAGAATGAAAGAAGACAAAAGTGTGCGTGAGTGAGTGTCAACAGATTGAGTATAGTATTTGCGTCACTTAAAATATACACAGCGATCCGTCTAGCTTTCTTTTTTTTGGTAAAAATTGTGGACTATCCATCCATTACAGAGTATTTGCGTCACTTAAAATATACACAGCGATCCGTCTAGCTTTCTTTTTTTTGGTAAAAATTGTGGACTATCCATCCATTACAGAGTATTTGCGTCACTTAAAATATACACAGCGATCCGTCTAGCTTTCTTTTTTTTGGTAAAAATTGTGGACTATCCATCCATTACAGAGTATTTGCGTCACTTAAAATATACACAGCGATCCGTCTAGCTTTCTTTTTTTTGGTAAAAATTGTGGACTATCCATCCATTACAGAGTATTTGCGTCACTTAAAATATACACAGCGATCCGTCTAGCTTTCTTTTTTTTGGTAAAAATTGTGGACTATCCATCCATTACAGAGTATTTGCGTCACTTAAAATATACACAGCGATCCGTCTAGCTTTCTTTTTTTTTTGGTAAAAATTGTGGACTATCCATCCATTACAGAGTATTTGCGTCACTTAAAATATACACAGCGATCCGTCTAGCTTTCTTTTTTTTGGTAAAAATTGTGGACTATCCATCCATTACAGAGTTTTTGCGTCACTTAAAATATACACAGCGATCCGTCTAGCTTTCTTTTTTTTGGTAAAAATTGTGGACTATCCATCCATTACAGCCTAACAAAAATCCACTGCTGAACGTAGGCCTCCTCCATAAATGAACCTCCTAGGTGGGATATTGCCATAGTAGTCAAACTTGGCAGGCAAGTTGGCAACCGCAGTTTTATTACGAGTCGCCTCTGACGACACCCGGGGCATAATACGAGATGATGTACACTATGAACAAACGTTTATGTATTTTTCCTGAGTTGCCCTATATACAATGGGAACAATCCATGTTGGTTTTATGTAGCAAAAATTAAAATTTATGTAATGTTGGGAGGTTCGAGGAATAAATGATACGTCTGGCGATCTTGAATGTAGATTTATTACTAACTCTCTCTCCTATTCTATCCTACATATATATAAGCACAAACTACACGCCCATCAGCAAAAAGAAAAAAAATAGAATTACAAAAATTTTTTTTTTCAATGAATTAAAACTTGGTGTAAAAAAATCAAAAAATTGTACATTAGTTTAAAATATTAAAATTCTTATACCTACTATATCATATTTATAACATAATAAAATAAAAATAAAATATCGTAAACACCGTAATTTAAAAAAAATAACTATCTCTGTATTTAAATTTATTAAACAATCATCAAATTCCTTACGTAATTGTATTGATTCTTTAAGTTTTTGTTGTAAAATAATTTTAGTTCGCCTATCATAACTGCCATACCATAAATTTAATGGGGAGTATATTTAACTTCCAGGTGATTCAAACCCACTTCTGGATAAAGCGAAATGAAATCATGCAAACAGTTGCGAATTGGATAACCGAACTAGAGGGTCAAAATGGCGATGAAAGGACGCAGCGCAGCATACAGCTTAACCTAATGGCGCTCAAGGTAATAATTTCACTTTTACTCTAAAAAAGAACTTATGCAAGGAAATTAATCACACAGCAATATAATGTATTTTTCCGTTGCAGCGACACTACGTAAAACTACAGGAAGAACTGGCGAAATTGCCGGTTCCACCGGGCTTGGAGGATTTGGATGAGCCGTTCCAGCTGCCAGCCGCCCCCTCCCCGCCGCCCGCACCCCCGGTCAACCCGCACAACCCGCTCAACCCACTCGACCCGCTCGACACACTCAGCCCGCCCACAAACGAAGAGATCGACCACGACATGGAGAAGATAGTTTCGCAAGTGGTAGATTGACTAATGGGGGGCCTGCTGAACACCTCGCCGCCGACCACGTAGTCTCCAGCACGTGTACAGTCACACGCACTTGTACGGACGTGTGCACTAGTACAGTCGGGCGCACGTGCGTTACAGCACACGCACACAAACACGTGCGTGCACTGAACGTCGCACACGATGCGTGAGCGTGCTTGTATATGCATCAAGTATGCTACATACAGACACCCGTTAGTCGAGCTTGACTTAATTTTCTACGGCTATATTATATAAAATATACTTTGTACAAAGAATAAGTGTGTATTCTAGCGTACTAAACGTATTGCGCGTGTCGCGTCCAATGAAAGTACAAGCAGGAAACGTTGCGTGCGGATAACAACGCATTTACTTTAGTATAGTGTAGGATGAGATTATACGCGTGTTTTATTCATATTTATTTTTTTAAATGCGGCCACCTCGTCGTCATTTCATTACCGCGCGCATATTATTGATTTTTATTTGCAACAAAGTTTCGTTTTTTTATAGATATATTATTTTAATAGGTATATAGATAGTATTTAGTGAAACTTTGTTTAGCTTAATGCATATTGTGATATTATAGGGCTCGCGCCCGGTAAGCTATTTAAGTATAGACGTACGGGCCGATGTCGTCGAACTCAAAGAATTGTAAAGTAACTTACTGTTATTCAGAGCAAGCAGCGCAACGCGTTCGCTAGCATTTAAATTGGAAATCACTCTTAATTACTTTCGTGTAACCTTTTTGATTGTCGCGAAAGCTTGGCCACTTGCTTAACCTTAATGTTTGTGCCATTTGGGGAAACGCTCCAATGCATTTATTTACGCAGTCTTAGATGTTAATGCGTGGCGTTTTCCTAATTGGACTCATTTGTATTGGCGTCTACCTGTGTAAAATAAATTATAAATTAATGTATATAAAACTCTATCTTGTTTTATTTTTTGTATTCAAGTGTCGTCACACTCTTAAAGAGTAGACGGGGTTCCAGTCGACCTCGACACATAATGAAAATATTCTAGTAAGTTATATATAAATTGATTCAAAATAGTTAAATTATGTTTGCAGGCCTAGCCGATGTTCTTGATTCTGTTATAATTTGGAAGTGACAATAAGACAGTGTGGGGTTATTGTGTTTGGTGCTTTTCGTGCACTTGACGGGTCGACGAAATTTAGAAAGTGAATGTATATAGGAAGGGAAAATAAATCATTGGTAGATTTCCCAGAATGTTTCTCATTGTACTTTCATTGTCGGGTGAGCTGGACCTGAAAGTTTCTTGTTATATTTGTCTGTGAATTTCGGATTGTAAATAAAAATTTATGTTAACACAAACAACTTTTCGTTTTTATTTATTTATTTTTGTTCTATATTCTATCACTGCCTATATATACAAACTTATGTATCCAATACTGTATACATATTAATTTAAATAAACCTTTACTAATAAGTTATTATATTTGTAAATACATACACGACTTATTGTTTTAATTGATTATTAACTAGTTTATACATAACTACAGTCATATAAAATATAAATTGTATAAATATATTCATTTTTATTTAAATTAACCCTTAAATTGTGTAAGACGAAGTGAGATCTCTAACATTTTCGAAGCTTGATTGCTAAAAGTAGTTTATGAACCTATTTTTATTATCTAATCAATGACTATATACGAGTATTATTTACTTCGAAAGAAAATCCAAGAATGTACAATATTACTCTACCCCCATACTAAACGTAACCTGTAGTATGGAGGAGGTAAAAGATTAAAACAATGATAAAAATTAAAAATAAAGCGAAACTGCGTGCGTGCGTGCGTGCTTGTGTGCGTTGCGTGCGTCTATATCGATTAAAAACTTAATTTAACCTCCTGGATTCCATAATAAAAAATTATTCGATATTATTTAAAACTTAGGTTTTATGGTATATCAGGAGTCTGTACATGTCCAACAAATGCAATAAAAATATTGTTTTTTTTTTATAAAGCTTTTACTTATGTTACATATATGACAATGGTTCTGTATAATACGATAGTTCGTTCGTATTTACGTTATATGTTTAAAGTAAAAAAGTAAAGTAAAGTTACAGCCTATATACGTCCCACTGCTGGGCTCAGGTCTCCCCTCATTTCTGAGAGGGTTTAGGGCAAGGAAGTGTCCGCCGCGCTGCCCAAATGCGTGTTGACGAACTTCACATGTCTTCGAAATATTTTTTTTCTTATTTCTCAGACATGCAGGTTTCCTCACGATGTTTTCCTTCACCGCCGAGCACGTGGTAAATCAGCACTTAAAATTGCAATTAACAATTTCATTGGTACCGGCGGGGATCGAACCCGGGTTACTCGCGTTCTGTTATATTTACAGCGAGCGTTAACCACTGAGCTACGAGGGCTCAGTGTTATATGTTTAAGACACTGGAATTCAACTCAAAATAAAAATTCCAGTATTTTATTATATCAATATGATTTTTTTATTATTATCACTTCTGGTCAGTCTTTATAATCATTTTTATTTGCTAATATAATTTTGGTATGCAAAATAACTTTTCGGAATCCTATGTTTAGGTAGTGCCTGTTGCGCGAAAACATTTTTGTCGTAATATCTAGGCTGATTTCACCGTGATGAAGTACCTATTAAAATATATGTGGTGACCCTCCTCACAAGCGTTTTCTGAAAATAAACTTCACCAAGAGTATATCCTTCTTCAGTCAACTCGGGACTAATAGTATCTACTTGGTATGGAGGCATGTCTAAGAGAATGCCAATATAAAAATTTTCAGGACAACAGGGTTGGGCTTTCCTGGACAATATTGCCGTATTTTATACTGACCGCTAAACGGCACTATCATCACATCAATGCTTAATTCAATAAGTTTTTCTTATGCGTGACGACACCCTCACAAGACAGACTGAAAAAGTGGATGACTATTTTTTATATTAAAATATTTATTTTGTCTCGTAGCCTTTATTATAACATAACTCCCGTATTTCTTAGACCAGAATAATGGTATATTTGGTAATTTGGTAGAAGAACTAACCATACAAATACCGAAAAAGACTCAGTTCTTTGACTGTTAGATCCAAGGTGCAGCCTATTCTTAGTATATTGGTTCTATTTGTAGTAATTGTCATTTCTTCCAGTATATCATCATTGATATATTGTGTAAAATAATCTTCAAGCTTCCAAGACCCCAGTCTCAACTTTTAAGAAACCGGATTAGTAAAACGGGAGTTCTAAAGGTTCAAACTGCTTAAAAAGTTATTTCATGAACAGTACGTTTGCACTGAGAAACATCCAACACGTAATGTTTTGAAACAAATCGCACGAAATAAATCACACAACATGTTTTGTTTATGGTGGCGTTCGCACTCACAAAAACTGTGTAAAATTTTCAACGGATATCAAAATTTGTTTTTAGCTGTGTTCGCATTGAATACAACATATTCTATTTGTTTATCTAGAGATTTGTCAACGTTAGCGTTCGCACTATTGTTTTTTTATATTTCGCGATTTGTTTTAAATCGTGTTTTGCATCTAAGTTATCCAATTTAGTTTCAAAACATCATAAAACATAATCAACCCAAGCGGAGACGAATGATAACTTTATACAAAAACGTGGTATATATGTGGTATCATCATCATCATCATCATTACAGCCCTTCACAAGTCCACTGCTGAACATAGGCCACCCCCAAGTTATGCCACAAAGCACGGTCCTGACTCAGGACTCCTGAGCCACCTGCGTTTGCGTCTGCATTGAGAGGCACTATTGGGTGAAGTTATTAAATGTGGTATATATCTCCACAAATTCCATCTTTATCATTAATCAGATTATCTGCAATTCTCTCGTGTGGCGGAAAAATTAATTCCTTTTTTTGGGGTATTTTTTTAGGTTGCCTGTGCCAGAGCTCGATATAAAAGAACATAATAAAATACAATTCAAATTTCTAATTATTTATTCAATTAAAATACATAACTTAAAAAAAGAAACGTAGAAAACTGTTTATCAAATAATTTAGTTTGTCGCTGCCATCTTCATAATGTGTTTTAATTTATTAATTATTTTTAATCATCTACATATGAGAAAGAAATATCAAATCATGTACCACCTTTCTCTCAAAATTTTACAAAGCTTATCATAGTTTAGGTTCCAATAATCTGTGTTTCCTTGAAGACAGGATTATTTTGTGATAACCGGTCAAATTTGCAGAGAAGGTTCAAGATAACTAATATAGGCCGTTAAAGACAAATCAATTTTAAAAAAATCTCAAACTTTGTATCCTTTTTATCTCTTAAATTCAAAATGCGCAGTAATGCATTGTAAGTGATTTTACTGCACACGTAAACATTCGTAAGAGTAATAATAAGCTTGTTGCTATCCCGGTGAGTCACTTAGGCATATCAAAGTACTTACACAGGCACAACCTAGTAGCCAGAATTCTACACCAGGAGCTCGCTCTGAAATACGGTCTCGTGGATCGGAAACCGCCTTATTATAAGTACTTACCGGAAGTCGTGCTCGAAAATGACCGCGCCAGACTCTACTGGGCCATCATCATAGACAGGACTATTCTTGCAAATAAACCTGACCGGGTCAGTCAATTTGACATTACCATTCCATAAAAAGAACCAAGTGAAAGGCTCACGAGGTGACCGACATGTGGGGTGGTCTGCCGACCGAAATTATTCCCGTAGTCGTCTCTGCGAATGGGCTAAACCCAGTTAGCCTCTCGGGTCATCTGAGGCGACTGGGACTCCGTGACGGACCACTCCGGGCTCAAATACAGAAGGTGGTGCTCCTCGATACCGCCCGCCGGTTTCTTTCCCTTTCCCCCTAGCCCTCGGCCATTTGGTCTCCCCTGCTGAGGGCTTCCATCTGGTTGGGATTTTATTTATTTATGTATATTTATCTTTTCATTATATATATATATATATATATATAGAACCCATCCAGATGAGAAAACTATATAGATACCCCACATAATAACAACAATGTTTATTGAATC